AAATTTAATGAACATAACCAATTAGTTCCTATCCTTAACTAATTAGTCTTTATTCTTACTAAACAAAGAAAAATTAGAGACAAGAAACACTTATGTTTAATCATTTTACCATAATTGTCGAATAATTCACCCAAACTTGTGGAGATGATTATTTGGAAATCTTTGCATAAGTTGATAAAATGAACATAATTTGAGTAATTTTTTTTGTCTCTTGCTACCAACTATGTTTGATATTTTGAATAATTTGATGTAAAAAGAACTTTTCTATAGATCTACAAGATATGGAAGAGATGTTGCCAACATTGTTTATAAGTTGAAAAAGGTATTATATGCCTTTAAACAAATCCTTCCGACATGATTTAGCTAATTTATTAAAATTATGATAGACTTGGATTGCAAACAAAGCCAATGAAACTATACTTTGTTCATTAATTAAATACACTATATTAGTAGAGTAGAAGTACTGTTAATATATAAATGACATTATACCAATCCGGAAATGATAAAGTAAATAAGTAGTTGTTAAAGTAGTGTTTGACAAAGTAATTTCATATAAGATGATCATATGAAAAGTAAAATATTTTCTTACAAAATGAAGTGACCCGCTCTAAGAAAGAGGATATTTATATCTCAACAAAAATATATTACTTATTTACTTAAAGAAACTTATAGGACAACTTACAAATTTACCAACACTCCAACAGAACTAAACCTAAAGCTTGGAAATTTAGAAAAAGACTCCATTATAATATGTAAAAAAAGAGATGTATATATCTTATCCCATTCCAAGTTAGATATTTCCTATGGAGTGAGTTTTCTATTTAAAAGGAATGAAAACAAATTTAAAAAAAGAACTTAAACATTTTTTATGGATGCATATCGTGTAATGTCAAATGTGGATAAGAGGTTAACTAAAGAATATTGCACTTCTGTTAGAAGAAATCTTATGACTTGAAGAAGTAAAATACAAGTGTAGTGGTTCAATCTAATACATAAATTGGAATTCCATACCATGATAGAGGGTAAATGTATGTTGCCATAACTTAAAATGCTAAAATGAGAAGAACCACCAAGACTATGCTGTGATAATAACTCAACAATTAAGATAGCTTGCAACCCAACGTAATAAAGCAGTAAGCATAGACAAACACTTGCTAAAGAAAAAACGTGATTATGAGTTAATTTGTCACACTATCTAAATTGGAATTTAGCAACCAAATTGAATATGTTCTTACGATGAAATTTAGATACCATAATTTTAAAAAGATTGTATATAAGTTGATGATTAAATTATATATATATATATATAAGTTTTTTTCTTTTACTCGTAAACACTTTTCAAAGTTAGGGAACATCTCAAATCCCTTTTCAAAGTCATGGCTATCACATTTTGCTTTCCCCATCATATTAACATTAGAAGAAAGCTTTTTTTTCCCCCTCTTTCAACGACTTCATTCATTCCTCTTCATTTCTAATGGGAAAAGACAAAATTATAGTCTTGGAGGTATTTAATAGAAATGTAGAAGTTGAATGGTTAAAGGTAGTAAGTAGCTGTAATTGTATTAAAAAGCTTATAGAATTGTACTAGTTATAAATGTTCGACAAAACTGTTAGGATTATAGTTAACCTTATATTTTTCAATCTAACGATAGTTACTTTCCTTTTCTATTTGACACTTAACGTGTGAACAGATCAAATGGGATTTACATGCATCCCCATCAAACTTTGATATATTTTCTCGTTCTTTTTCCTTAATTTCTGTATTAAGTAGCTTAGCAAACTCAAATTTTGATTTTGTTGCAAGTTGTAATTCAAAGTGAATATCATTCTTTCAATGCTGTTGATTTGTTGTACATATTATCTTCATAGTTTTAAAATATACGAAAATAAAAATATTTTTAACTTCTATCTTTTGCTTAATTTGTACATAATTATAATGTAACGAATGAATAAAAATAATGTGTATATATAGGATAAATAATTGAAAGTGTTAATCTAATAATCAATATGTTGAAACTAGATACTGGGTCAAATTTTACAACATTAATAAAACTTCCTTCTTTTTATTTAAAGAATAAAAGTAGGGTAAATTTTGACCAAAAGTAGTCAGGCACATAAGATACTAATGAAGTATAAAGAAAGTAAAACTATACGTATTCATATTAATAGAAATCAACACCTTAAGTTTAATTAGGTTCAATCCTAATCCTATTACCGAAAGTGTCCTAATGCTGATATGCTATCACCTTTTTCGTTTGTCAAAAAGGGAGATTAATTTCACACTGTAGCTTTCATGCGTTGTGCACTATGGACAAAACCATTGGGAGAAAAAGTCAAAAAGATTGCAGTAATTAAAAAAAGAAGAAAATTGCCGATTAATTAGTTACAATGGGAAAGTTATCTTATTTTTTTATAATAATATTTTTTTAATCTCTTTACATTATATTACTTTTAATTTATTTTTATTTATCCTAATTTATAAAATAAATTATACAATTATGATTTCTCACACAGAAAAGAATGGTCGCTGTCCAAAGACGAAAAGGAACCAACGGACAAAAGAGTCACAATCAAACGGCCCAGATTCGTCTGCAATCATAAACGCAAAATGCAGCTTCGTCGTACCATTAATGGCCCCACACACTAATATGAATTTAACAGCTCAATGATAATTATGCATAATATATACTTTTAATAAAATTTTGGATAATACAGAATATGTTATCTCCAGAGCTGTTTAATTTAGAGAAGCTTCTTATCCTTGCATGATATAAATATGACATTTGAATTTTCTAAAATAAAAAATTATTTATTAATTTTTAATTAAAATTAAATATGTTTATTAAATAGTTGAATATTTTAATGAATGGTGATTTTTTATTTAAAAAATTAAATAAAAATTGTTGTTAATATTTTTTTAAAATTTTAATACATTTTAAATGTAGAATTGCCATTACATATGGAGTTGATTCCTTATTTAACAAGCTTGTCATCGTCAAGAGATGGTGTGAAAGTTTTCGCATTAAAATCAAATTATTTTAGGCATAATTAATATACGTTGGTTTTAATAATGTTTATAGTCATATGCTACTAAAGCGATAATTGACAAGGAAAAATAAGTTAAAAAACATCTTTAACTTTTTACTAATTAAACAAACTAGATGTAATAGTTTAAAAAAACTAATAATCATCGCTTTGACATTATATTCATTTATAGATTCAATTTAAGCAATGGTATACTGTTTAGAATATTCTACTCTTATATTATAAATTTAAATATTAATTCTTTAATAGCTTTTATTTATTTATTTCGACATAGGCTATATAATTATTTTTTAAAAGATTAAAAGTAAAAAATTATTAAAAAACATTAATACATCTCTACTGTGCATTTTAATATTGTTTATAATATTTTTAAATTTTAATTCTTTAATTAATGTCCTAAACAATATTCTTTTATTTTTATTAAGTCGTATAATTTTTCTTGTATTAAATATAACATCTTTTTAACTTAAATATATTTTAATTATCTATATTTTTGCACAATTTTGATTTTAGTCCATTATGTTTCAAAATGTTAGTCCCTAATATGTTTATATTTTAAATATCTATATATATTTTTTTTCAATGCAATAATTTTAGTCTCCTACTGATAATGCAGTTAATTAAAAAGTTATAACGTATAAATTTTTTATGTCATGGGTCAATTTTATTTTTTTTCAATTCAATAATTTTAGTCTCCTACTGATAATGGCCTAATGCATTTATGATGTTAAGATTAATATTAATCTACTTTGTTTGTAATTGAACATATTTAACTTAAATACTGCTTAGCTTTTGTTGACTTCTGTGTTTAGTATACTTTTAAAATTTTAAATTTTTGTGGATTTTTAGTTAATAAGATTAACCTAATCATTCAAGTAAAAATTATTCATTAATGCTTTCGACAGTTTCAAAATTTCTATCAGGATACTTTTAAAAAATGTGTACTTCAGAATGATAATTATATCTAAACTCAATATATATTAATTTTAATGTGTTACTTTTGATGTGTTACTTTTAAGATAAGCTTTTAGTAATTAAAGAGTCTGTGTTTTATTTTGAATAACTTACCATAAAAACTTGGCGATATAAGGAATATCTCTAATATGTTTATATAAGTAACCATAATAACTTATCATAATGATTTAAATTTTCTAAAACTTAAATTACATCCTTTGATTAGTGCTTTTATTATTAGCTTTTTAATTGATTTTAGAATTAAAATAATGTTTTTATTTTACTAATCTGTTAAAAAATAATAAAAAATTATATTTTATTTAATTAAATGCGAACAATAAATTTAAAGTTTTAGGATTTAAGTGTACAGATATTAATGAAAATAGGCATAAATATTAAAGATAATGTATACTATTGTGTTTTCTTAAAAGGCTGACATGAAATTAATATTCTACTATCATGTTACCAACACTTAATCTATTGTCATTGATAAGTATATTTGATGATGTTTTAGAAGGATATACTATTTACATTTAAATACATAAATTTTATTAATAAGTGTTATATATTACTTTTTAATTAATGTATGCTTTCTTTATTCATATTTACATATATTTTTTTTTTCAAAACACCGTGTTATAGTTATTTTTTCCATATAAAAATAGAGTCACAGAGATATTTTATAGTATCAATTAACATAACATTAACCATATAAACAGTGTTTTTTCGGTTTAATATTATACATTTTCTAAATACTCTTCAGTTTAAAAATTTAAAAATTATTTTTGTTGAATATTAAATAAATTCACAGTTGTATTTTATCTGTTTTAATAACAACATTTTTTATAAAAAAAATAATTCTAATTAATAATTTTTTTTTAACAACATGCGATTTACGATAAAAAGTTCCAGTGAAAAGATGACAACGTTGTTACCTTAGTCAGTGTATGCTTCTTGTTTCAGAATTTTGACAATTTCTTGATTTCAGTTTTACCAGAAAGATTCCTTTACCATGGTATCACACTGAAACTAAGAGAGAGAAAGTGAGAGAGGCACTGTCTTAGCACAGAAACAGCATTTTCATCACATTCGTTCCTAACCTTTTCCTAATTTCCCTCTGTTTTACGCATGCTTTCTGTAGCCACCTTCTATATTCTTCTTTCTTTCCTTTTCCTTCTCTTCTCTTCCTTTCAACTTCACAAGAATTTTGATGCAAAAATCTCCCACTTTTTGCCCTTCAAAACTTGAGACATTGAGCTCTTGGGTCATGTGAAATCATGCTGCAAGTTTGGATTTTCTGCTTCTGGGTTGCTTCTCCTTGATTTCAGGGGTGTTTCTGGCATCTGTATTGATTTTGAGTTTGTAGCAATTGTTTGGATCCATGTTCAGGATGTGTGAATGAGCAGCCAAAGGGGTTTATTGTTTTTGTTATTTGATGTTAGTAGTGGATGATTAAAGTTACTGTTTTTGGAGGTAGGGTTTGAACTTTGAAGTCTTTGTGTGTTTATTATAATAATTTCTCTAATTGGGTATTTTATTTTGCTGGATTTGGAATCTGGGTGCCTGTGATTTTGTTCATTTTTTTTTTACTTGGGGGGGTTTTGAATTTTGATTCATGGAGGCTCAATTTGAGGGAAAAAATCAGTATTTGTATGGACTTGTGGTGCCAGAGATGAAGGGTGTTGGGAAGAGAAGTTTGGAATGGGATTTGAACGATTGGAAATGGGATGGAGATCTTTTTACTGCTAGGCAACTGAATTCAGTGCCATCAGATTGTAGGAGTCGTCAATTGTTTCCTACTGATCCTGAAATTCTTTCAAATGTTGATACTTCTAACAATTTGTCTTCTGGATATGATGATATCAACCATGGGGAAGGAAAGAGAGAATTGGAGAAAAGGAGGAGAGGCGTTGTTGATGAAGGGGTGGAGATGAATGATGAAGCTGGTTCTCTTAATTTGAACCTCGGAGGTCAAGTATACCCTATCATGGAAGGGGAGGAAAAGAGTGGGAAGAAGACAAAGATAACTGGGACTACTTCGAGCCGTGCTGTTTGTCAAGTGGAAGATTGTCGAGCTGATCTTAGTAATGCAAAGGATTACCATCGTCGCCACAAAGTTTGTGATATGCATTCTAAGGCTACCAAGGCACTAGTTGGGAATGTTATGCAGAGATTCTGCCAACAGTGTAGCAGGTTAGTTAGGTTATGCAATGATAGTTTCTTGGAGAGAACATCTCATATTTATGATATGGTTGTTTAAAACCTGCTTTACGTGCATTTTTAGTTTCCCGAATATTTACTTTAGCATCCCTGTTAGTGTGCAACTTGTTAAATTTATGGCAGGTTTCATGTTCTTCAAGAGTTTGATGAAGGGAAGAGAAGTTGCCGTAGGCGTCTGGCTGGCCATAATAAGAGGAGGAGGAAAACACATCCTGATTCTACTGTAGTTAGTGGTGGATCTCAGAATGAAGAAAAGGGCAGTAGCTATCTGTTAATGAGTCTGCTAAGGATACTGTCCAATATGCATTGTGAGTTTGTGTGTAATCCGAAGTTTATCTACTTGGCATTCTTCATGACCCTAGTTTATTTATTTGGCTGCTTATGAGCTTGTTGTTTCATCTATATACATCCTCTCTGTCTGGGGCAAAAGCTGATCATCAGAAAATTAAAAAAAATGGAAGTTTCTGCATGGATGACATCTTGTTCTAATATGTTAAGTGATATCTTTGTTCTTGTGGTTTTATGCTTTGATGCTGAAACTAGCATAATTGAATTTCTAAAGAGATAAGATGAAAAAAAACTTTTTTGGATAATGGTGGTGGCAATGGTGGCTGTGGAGGTGACGGTTGTTGAAGTATTAAACATAGGTGGCTGGAGTTGTTATATGGTGTGTAGAGTGCATCTTATTTATCCTTGTTTCTTGGAATTAGAATTGGTGTTTGGGTTAAGAATTGAGAAGGGATATAGATAGTTGCTTTTTCATTTCCTAGGAATTATTCTGAATTAGAATTCCAATTCTGAAATCTTAAAGGCATACCAAATATGAAATTTAGTACTGGCCCCGCTTTAAGTCCATCTAGTGAGATTCTTTAGGTTGGTTGTCTCATTGATTGTTTTCCTAATTCAGGTAGCTGGAAGTATTTGTACTAAAAAATATGAATAATTTAACATAATGTTTGATGTTTATATTGTTCCTTTTTGTTGTTTGATATGGTTTGCTTTTTCTTCATCATAGGCTCTCTGGGTTTGAATCTCTGTTTATTAGTAATTTAGTATTACAGTAACAAGTGTAGTGAGTTTAGATGCCCAACATTTATGCTTGAAGGTGGAATAGTAAAGTCTTAATAGGTAATCAGTGCTGAAATGATAATGCTAATGGGGATGATTTGGGATGTGTTATGTTGTGAATATGATATGTGGCCTGATTGTGATGTTTAGTGATGCTAATAGGAATTTATTTGAATAAAAGACTTGCTTCTTGCTTAGTTGCTATGAAAATTATGAGTCTTTTTCTCAGATGGTATTGAAAGCTTTCTTCACCAGTAAGTTATTTCTACTTGAAACCTAGGTGGTTTATTTTGAGCAATTTAGCTTGACACTTTTGCTTTACCATGGATTTACAATTGCCAAACGGATTGGAAGATCATATTCAGTTATGGAATTTAGCCCAAATTGATCATTGGATATGGAATATGATAAAAATTGATTCACCAAAATTGTGACTGTTATGAAGTATTTGGTCAACACAAAATGTGCATTAATGATTCTGTTTTGTTGTCTTTATTGACTGAGTATCATTATCATTATATTTTATTTTCATGTGCTTTCCAAATTTTGGGCGCATAAATATTGGATGACAAGAAAGCTGGAAGGTTTACAATGACACCCTTCTAGTGAGAGTGTGTTGTGCTGAAATATTTCATGAAAAAGATGAAATCTGGTTTTTGAGCTTATTCTAATTATCTCTGTTTTGGAACTTTTATGTCTGTCTACTGTAAAGTCTTTTTTCTTCATTAGCATACTGATTTGATAAGACATGTGCCTTCTATAAATTGCAGCAAATGGCTCGGATGAACCGAGAAACCAAGATGTTCTATCTCATCTGCTGAGGAACCTTGCAAGTCTGGCTGGTACAACAAATGGAAGAAATATAGCATCTTTATTAGAGGGATCTCAAGATTTGGTAAAAGCTGGGACATCTGGAGCTGCACAGGATGTTCCAAACACAAATTCAAATGGTGCTGAACCATCCAGACCTTGTGGTTCTTCTATCAAGATCAATGATGGTCTAATCCGTCAGGACCCTCCAGAGTCTAGGTTACAATGTGAGACAATTCCTGCTAATGATATGGCTCAAAAATGTATAGCTTCAGGCAGTGGTGGAGTAGGACGTTTAAAATCTCCTCCAGGACCACAGTCCTCAAATTTACTTCTTTCAAGGGACAGTCTTCCACCCCATTCAGTTGCAGCAGAGACTACAGTTGGAAGAATTGGGTTAAGTAATATTGACCTAAACAATGTATATGATGATGTACAGGATTATGCTGAGTACCCCATGAATTCTCGTCCTCCAGTGCCTTTAGGGATCGAGTCTCTTGATAATCCCTTACAGGTCCAATGTGACTCTCTCAAGTCAAGTCCACCACAGACAAGTAGAAACTCTGATTCAACCTCTACCCAGTCGCCATCTAGTTCGAGTGGAGAAGCTCAGGTATATTATTTTAGTAATTTGAATTCATTTCCTTATTACTGTATATTTTGATATTGTTTCTATTACTATTTTATCAAATATTAGAGGTAACATAAGGCACTTGATTTATCATGTAGAGTTATAGACTATAAAGGATCCTTGGATGGGTATATTATGTTTATTTTTGAAACAACCTTATAATTCATTCGTTTCTTTCCTTTTTTTTTTTTTTTTGTTTCAATTTATTTGTCACCTAATCTAAATATTCTTGTAGATTTCTCAGCCATGGCAAAATCCAATGGTTACCTAATGTAAATTTGTTAACATCATCCTTTTATATTTGTTGAATTCACAAAAGTCATGGTCTATATCAAGAATAGAACATTCCTCCTTCTCCCCAGTTTGGATTTTGAATTTTTTTAATGTAACACTGTTTTCTTGCGGCTGTCAGAAGTTTGCATTTATTGACATGTTATGTATCTTTTCTTTTTTACAGAGTCGCACTGATCGAATTGTTTTCAAACTATTTGGCAAGGCTCCAAATGATTTCCCCCTTGCTCTCCGATCTCAGGTACTTTTTCCTGGCTTGAAATTGCTATACACTATTTCACTGCATTATTTCTTTGTGGTGTTTGATTTATGTTTTCCTTTGCGTACCAGGTCCTTAACTGGTTATCCCACAGTCCCACTGAGATAGAGAGCTATATAAGACCAGGCTGTATCATATTAACCATATATCTCCGTCTGGAAAATTCTGCATGGGAGGAGGTATAATTTGATATAATATTGCATTTTGGTTGCCTACTGGAACTGTCGGAACAATAAAATATATAGATGTGCTTATTTATTATTATTTGATAATGCAGCTATGCTGTAATCTAGGATCCAGCTTGAGAAAGCTTGCCTCATCAAATGATTCTTTTTGGAGAACAGGATGGGTATATACAAGAGTGCGGCACTCTGTAGCTTTTCTTTATAATGGTTTGTTCTCTCTCACTGTTTGTGTTTGCATTCTGATTCTTTCAACTATCATTATAATCTTCTATCATCTTACTTAGGTAACTAAAATATATATTTTTACTTCTTACATCTGCTGCAGGTCAGGTGGTCTTAGATGTGCCATTGCGCCTCAAAAGCCCACAGAGTAGTAAGATTTTGTGCATTAAACCGCTTGCTGTCTCTCAAACTGCTAGTGTTCAATTTATTGTGAAAGGATTCAACCTTTTCCAGTCTAACACAAGGTAAATCTCTATTCTGATGATAGTCATATATGTTTAGTTGAGACTTTTCTTGCTCCAAAAGAGCATGGTAGTGCCTGTGGAGGCATAATGTGAGCTATACTTGTGTTATTTGGTGGAGATATTCATATACTCTCAGACCTTTGGCAATATAAACAGACAGTATTTTGAAATAATATGTAGCTACATATATTAATTAATGTTATGCAGCACTTTCCCAGGCACTTGAGTAGTTTTGAAAATGAAAGAGAGAGAGAGAGAGAGAGAAAGTAGGAAACGTTACCTTAATGTCCTGGATATAATTACCTATGATTTGGGAAGAGAGGAAGATCCATGTTATGGATTTTTTTTACGGGAATCAATCTAGAAGTTAATCCATTCCTCTTGATTTCAGGTTGCTTTGTTCACTTGAAGGGAAATATCTGGTACAAGATAGTTGTTATAATCTGATTGATGGAACAAATACAGCCATTGAACATCATGAACTTCAACGTCTCAGTTTCTCTTGTCATATACCGAATGTGACTGGAAGAGGGTTTATTGAGGTGGTATCTACTCCTTCTTATAAATTTTTTACCCTGAGCATATATATTTTTGTGCTGGCCCTCTTTTTAGCAAAGTAAAAATCTAAAATATGCTTTAAGTTCAAAAGTAATTCCTGCATTCCTCACTGTGAACTTTAATTTACTGAAGCTCAGAAGGAACTGGAGCTTATTTTTGAGTTTTCCTTTGTTAATTTATCTGTTATTGGATATATGCTGTTATTTTTGCCTGCCATTGGACACTTCAGCTTAAATTAACTTTGAGTTGGCCATGGTTGTTTACAGTTTTAGGTTTTCTTATGAACTACTGAAAAATCAATCTGAATATGAATGAGACTAAGGGGTTTTTGTTTTGGTTTTTAATTTTTAAAAATTACATTGTAAAATAGTTTTAAAAAATGGTTTTTAGGAAGAAAATGAAAATAGAACTTGTTTGTTGGTTTAGTTTTTAAAAATGTTTTTACGATGAGAAAATAAAAAAAATCTAAACACCTTAAAACTATTCTTGTTTTTTAGTTTTAAAAATTGAAAATGAAAAATTATTCTTAAAAATTGTTTTTAAGAACTCATCTTAACAAACAAATTTTATTTTTTTTAACTTTTAAAAAGAGAAAATTGTTTTTCAAAACAGAAAACAAACAAGCTTTCCCTTCCCCCTTTTTCGTGTTGAGTCCTCAAGTTATATACAATTATCATGTGGCTTGGTTTTTTTCTTTGGCAAAACTAGATATGTAAAATAGATGCTTTGTTTGCAACACTAAACTATACATTTTCAAATCTTTTTTCTCTCTATTTATCTAACTTTTGAAGCTTTATTTTCATCTCTGATTTGATAATCTTTATTCTTTATTCAGGTGGAAGATAATGGACTTAGCGGCTGTTCCTTTCCATTTATTGTAGCAGAGCAAGAAATTTGTTCAGAGATTTGTAAGCTGGAGAGTGTCATTGAGGCAGCGGAGACTGCTGATGACATCCAGATAAAAACCAAACTAATGGAAGAGAAGACTCGAGCATTGTATTTCATACAAGAAATGGGTTGGCTCCTTCATAGAAGTCGTGTAAAAGTTAGGCTAGGTCCCATGGCACCTGGCCAAGAATGCTTCCATTTTAATCGGTTCACGTGGCTTGTTGGATTCTCTATGGACCATGATTGGTGTGCTGTGATGAAAAAACTCTTGGACATCATCTTTGAGGGTGCTGTTGATACAGGAGAGCATACCTCTGCTGAGCTTGCATTGTTGGACATGGGTCTTCTGCATAGAGCTGTAAAGAGAAATTGCAGGCCCATGGTGGAACTATTGTTAAAATTTGTGCCAGTTAAAGCTTCAGATGGTGGAGACAGTAAGGAGAAGCAAGTCAACAAGTCCCCTGACAGGTTCTTATTTAGACCTGATATTGTTGGGCCTGCTGGGTTGACTCCCCTTCATATTGCAGCAAGTATGCATGGCTCGGAGAATGTATTGGAAGCATTAACAGATGATCCAGGAATGGTAATTCCTTTCATTTCTGTATGCATCATATATCTTCTGTAAATTCTTTAGATATTATTACCTTCACGGGTGGTAGAGGTAGGTATGGAGACTACAGTGAGACCATTATTATTTAGAGCACATTTTGATAAGAGCTTACTTATGCGTTTACTTAATAAAAGCATATCACATGAGCTCATTTTTAAAAATTTCACCACAAGCTTTATTGAAATAAGTTAAAAATTATTGAAGAGTCATACGCCCCTTTTGTAACCTTCCAAACACCTATCTAGTGCTTATTATAAGCTCAAAAAAAGCTCCAAGATCTTCCAATCGTTCCTTTATTTTGTGATCACTTAAAAGCACTATCTCTCTTCCCCTCTTTTTCACCTTGCTGGGCAAGCTCCTCTGCAGGCTTCAGTTCATTCTCAATGCTTAACTGAATTACAAGTGTAAGGATTTAATACAACGTGCCTTTATTCCTTTGTTTGCCATGTTCAGGTAGGAACTGAGGCATGGAAAAGTGCTCGTGACACTACAGGTTTGACTCCCAACGACTATGCATCGCTGCGGGGCTACTACTCCTACATTCAACTTGTCCAGAGGAAAACAAGCAAGAAATGCGAAAGTGAACACGTGCTTGACATCCCAGGCACCCTTGTAGATAGTAACATAAAGCAGAAACAGTTAGATGGGCATAGATCATCAAAAGTCTCTAGTTTGCAGACTGAGAAAATTGAAATAACATCAATGCCACATCAGTGTGGGCTATGCCAGCGCAAGCTGGCGTATGGTGGCACGAGAAGGGCACTGGTTTATAGGCCAGCAATGCTGTCAATGGTGGCCATTGCAGCTGTGTGTGTCTGTGTGGCTTTGCTCTTCAAAAGCTCACCCAAAGTTTATTATGTTTTCCAACCTTTCAGCTGGGAATCATTGGAGTATGGATCAATCTAGTGTTGTATATCAGATATTCTTTGCACTAGGCCTGCACTTTTTTTGTTCTTTTAAAGTGTGAAAGTCTTAGTTCTGGGGTATATACATCAGTGATAGTAGCTGTCATCAAAATACACAGGGAAGGTTTACACCTTCACTTTAGATGTTCAGCACAAAATGTTCACTATGCTGTCTACCAAATGTCAGGTAGATGGTGTTATTAGGTCATGTATATGCAACAATTATGATGATAGGGTAAGCTTGCCAGAATTTAGGAGGGTACCTTGTATTAGTCAATAAATATAAAAGATTTATTACAGGTGAGATGAGTATACTTTGAAGTTATCATGATTTATTATGAAAATTATATAAGCTAATAGATGCACTTGACTGGTAACATGAGAATTATGTAATTTGCAGGCAACTTTAGATTGAATTTTGTTGTCATTATGTTGTATTTTCAACCATTGGAATATGTATTGAGATTTACGTTACAATATTTAAATTTTCTGTCTTAAATATTGTAATGTCAATTGAACATACCGGAAGAAGTTTCTATGAACCTTTTTACTGCTCATAATTTTTTCCTTATTATATTTGTAACGGAGGGTTGTTATCTCTTACATCCAAATAATTTTATTGAAATTTGTACAAAACTAAAATATGAATAGATTATAATTTTGCAAAATTTCATTGATTCTTGACTACTATGGAATATTTTCGGTAAAAATCCTACGTAATTTTTTCTACTTCAAATATTTTCTTACACAATTGTAAGAATGCTATGTTTTGTAAGAATGCTATGTTTTTACGCTGAAGATAGACCAAAACTTGTCCCAGAAAATCATTTAAAACAAGTTCATATTTGATTTTTTTTTTTCTCTCCACCTTTTTCCCTTACAAATTCATCTAAATTTTAAAATAATGCACTAAACAACATTTATGTAAGACTAAAAGATACCTTTGCTGTTGCATGGGTTATTTTATTAATCTTACAGTTATATATTGTTTTAAAAATCATATATTTAGAATATAGGCTTTGTAATGGTTTAGAATGTTTCACAGGGAATAATGTCAACTTAACAAATGGAAATCATATATAAAAGTTAGTTGAACAGTTCCTATGTGCTACCTACAAATTATTGGTGGTGTTATATTTATTTAAGATCAGTTTGATATATGTTAGGGAGGATGATATAATACTAAGGCTAATAATAATCATACTAAAAAAATTATTTTAACAAAATCTTTAAAGTAGTCAACTGCGTGTGTTATGCATAATAACAGTAACAATATATTCTTATTCTTATTAGTAGTAGTAGTACTAACTTGAGCTTGAAGGACTTGTAATTGTCAATTTTTCAATTGTTACACTTGAAAAATGTTCTGTAATTAAGTTTATTATTATGATGGAGTACTGTAGCTTTGGAGTGATCAAGTAGATTAAAATAAATTCAAATTTTGAAAAAAATTTCAATTGTTAGGTAAAAAAGAGTTCTGTAGCTTTGGAGGCAAAACTTTGTACATGTGCTGGATATATGGCAACAAAAATTTGAGGAATATTTTTTTAGAATGACACGTGTGCTAGAATAATTATTTTAAATATGAATTGAAATGGAATAGATAAAGTAAATATTAGATAGGCTAGGCTATTTAAAAAAATAAATAAATACCGAGTGCATGTATTAATTAGCGTGTAATTATTATGGATTCAAGTTCGAGAATTTGAAAATACGGTTTTATTAAATATTTGATGAAAAAAATTAAATGTTACTTTAATGATTTGGTAAAGAAAATTAAAAATATAGATGATAACATTTTGTATTTAAGTAAAGAAAAAATTACAAAAATTAATCTTTTTACTCTTTCTTTATTTAAATTTTTTTTCTTTCATCTTATTTTCTTTTCTCTGAAAGAAACTAGGTAAAACTAGTTCAAATGTTTAACTTTAAAAGAAAATATATCAAAATTGATGTTAAATAATTGCTAAATTAAATTGAACTTAAAATTCAAACTAATAATTTTCCAGTATATTCTGAACTGTGTCTGCTTGCATCTACACTTCAATGGCTTCCATATCACAGTCACACTCATTTTCTTCTCCCATTCTCTCTTCTCCCCTTCACCACGCCAAGTCCAACCCCATTTTTCGGGTTACCCGCATCTCACTCGTAGTTTCGGCTTCAGCATCTTCCTTTTCTCTCTCTTCGCTATCCAAAAACAAACAACGAAACCAAAGTAAATTTCCCGAAACATTGTTTCGTGAGAGTATGGAGAAGACAACCATTAACAAAAAGAAGAAAAAGAAGAAGAAGAAGGAAAAAGAGAACAGCGCTAAAGTTTGGGTCCACACTCTCCCCGAAACCTTATCTTATCACATTCACAAGAAGCACTGGAATATAGCCCTTCAGGTTAGTCATCACTACCCCCTTGTACTTCAAAAATTACCCTTTTCTTTTTCTTTTTAGCAACATATTGGAAAATTACGAAAGTTAGAGGGAAAAAGTTTAAATTTTTGTTACTTGATAAATTAGGGGCAATTGTGCTGTTCTTCAATGTGCCTCGAGCACACCCACACACTCATGGAGAAAATTTACGAGATTTATATTCAAATTTAGATCAAAATACAAATTTATTGTAGTTAATACTCATTTATAAATTAGTCTCATGTATGAAAAAAAGACATGTTTTAGTTTGTATACAAGGGTTGACTAAGCTTTGGTTCCTGCTATTTTAATAATATTAGGGATTAAAGCATAAGTTGTATAGAATAGATAAGGGCCAAAGTGTAATGAAAAACTCATAGGTTTTGAAATATAACTTTTTTTTTAACATAAGAACTAATTCGTTAATAGATGTCAAACTACAGTTATAAACTCATAAAGGAGTAGCATAGTACTGAAGTGGGGTTTTTATCTGTTGTTAGAAATTTGTGTTTGTTCCAAAATATTGTGATTGACTGATCTACTAAAGCATATCGACTATTTGGTGTAGCTCTTAGAGTACAAAAGAATATCTTCTGTTATGGGAATTCTAATGAATATTATACTCAATTATTGTTTTGAATGCACAGTTATTTGACATGCTTAGAGAGCAACCCTATTACCAACCCAGAGAGGAGACTTACATGAGACTCATTGTGTTGCTTAGAAAATCCGGCCAACCCCATCATGCCCATCAGCTTTTTAACTCTATAATTGAAGATGGTTGTGAAAGTACCAAACTTTATACAGCCTTAATTGCAGCTTATTGTCAGAACAACCTAGTTGATGAGGCATTCTCAATTCTTGATGAGATGAAGAACCTCCCTCATTGCCAGCCTGATATTTTCACTTACACTACCTTGATAAAAGCTCATGTGGATGCTTTGAACTTTGAAATGGTTGAGTTGCTGTATGATGAAATGGCTGAAAGATCTATCATGCCAAACACCCTCACCCAGAACATCGTTCTTGGTGGTTGTGCTAAGGCAGAGAAGTTTGATCAGATGGAGAAAATACTGTCTAGTATGATGGAGAGCACTGCATGCAAGCCCGATATTTTGACAATGAATGCAGTCATCAGGGTCTTTGGTGATAAGGGTCAGACTGATATGATGGAGAAATGGTATGAGAGGTTTCGTAGTTTTGGGATACAACCAAAAACAAGCACTTTTGATATTTTAATTGGAGCTTATGGTAATAAAAAAATGTATGACAAAATGTCATCTGTTATGCAGTATATGCGCAAGGTACAATGTCCATGGACTACCTCAACTTATAACAATGTGATTGAGGCATTTGCAGCTGGAGGTGATGCTGAAAACTTGGAATCTACTTTTGATCAGATGCGTGCCGAGGGTTTGAAAGCAGATACTAAAACTTTCTGCTGCCTTATCAATGGTTATGCCAATGCAGGTATCTTCCATAAAGTAATTAATAGTGTTAGTTTGGCTGAGAAGCTTCAGATACCTGAGAATACTTCCTTTTACAATGCAATCATATCTGCATGTGCAAGGGAAGATGCTTTGAGGGAAATGGAAAGAGCTTTCAAGCGTATGAAAGAAAAACAATGTCAACCAGATGACACAACGTATACTGTCATGATTGAGGCATACAGAAAAGAAGGCATGAATGACAAGATTTACTATCTGGAGCAGGAAAAGCAGATGATATCTGATGACAAAATATTGAATGTGCCTGAGGTAATCCTTGGCTGATTTATGGTTCAAAGACAGAGTGCTAATTCATGTGCCCCTCCTCCATCTTTTTGAAGCAGCGGTTGGTAGTTTTTGTAATTTGATGTGAACGAATGATTAGTTGGGTCTTCGTGCTTCTTTCCTTGTGATGAATGACAACTCCTTCCCAACATGATGTAAGTTTATAGTAAATATTGTTGGCATCCATTTTTCATTTTGATGCTGATAGATAGTATGATCCTTGAAAGACACAATAGAATCTTGAATGCCCTAAAATGACAATAATACTTTCGTGAATTGTAAACAGACACTAAAAATTCACACTATATTGATAGTAATTTGAAAAGAGATACCAACATAGGGAATCCAATGAGTTGTTTATAAATTGTAATATAAGAGTATTCTTGCGTTTAAAACCTTAGCCAATTAGTTATACTTTTATTTTCCTCGAGTATTGTTGAGTAAGATAGCCAGTGGAAATATTTGTACAACATACTGCATATACTTTAGAGTTTGAAGTTGTGTAGATTCTTTTGACATGTATATTTGTTTTTCAGATTGAGTGCTTATTTCCCACTTGGAAAAGTGTTGCTTTCATAGGCATGGCATAAACTACTCCGTTATTTTGCGGGAACTGGGTAGCTGGTTGAAAGAAGTTCCTTGAATCTGGTAATAGCCACTTTCTTTTAGCTCTATGTGTATCCTTAGAAATAGAAATAGTAATTCTAATGGATGATCATTATGGTTATAATTGTATAATTGCACCTAAGGGTTAAAAGTTGATTGATAAAATGCATTTCCTAGCCAGTAAATTTCAGTCAACTAGATGCTCAAAGTCACAGGTAAAGACTATTTGAAGTCCATGCATTTACCATTTAAAAAAAAAAAAGATTAGTTGAAGTCCTGTTTCTAATTGTGGAGGGGAGAGTAACGGAGGGTGCTGAAAATCTTCGTTGTATAAAAAAGAGTAAGGACACTCTTTAATAATGACTTCATTGCACTTTTGATCCTCGTGCTTATTTGATTTTAGTCTCCCAATATTTAATTGTAGTTCTTATTTTTTTAATTAAGCAAATTTCATCCATCCACAAAATTGTTAATTCAATTTTTAACAGTTGGTTGGGTGATTATTATAATGCTCTGGGGGATGTTATGCAGTGCTCCTCCCTTTCATTTCAATGATAATTTTTTATTAAAAATATTTGAATTATATTGAAAATCACAAAAGAAAGTCTACTATATTTTTTGAATTTTTTTTTTCTTCTTTTAGTTCTTTAACCAATGTCTAAGAATATTGGTTAGCATTTACCTAAAACTTCAGATTTATTGATTTATACCTTCATCAGTATGCTTTTGAATCAAACAATGGCACACACGTACACTCGTTATGTATGTGAATGATTCTACAACATTTTTAAATACTATTCAATGTTAAATAATAATAATAATAAACCCACATGTCATTCTGTAATTTGAGAACAAGAATATGGTAGACCCAAAAAAAAAAAAGGGATATGAGAAAAATATATAAAAACGAGTGGTCATAAATTCCAGAAAAATATTTTGCTGTTTTTCATCAACTTTATACCATTTGCTTTTGTGATTTTTGCTGTTTAGTTTAAGTACTTCACCTTTTCCTTTGCTTTCTAGCTTTGTATTAAGTCAGGTTTAGGCCGATAATTGAACTAGGCAAGCAATTTTTATTTTTTATTTTCAAAAAAATTTGTTTAAGTTATCCCATGAGATAAATAATCTCATCTTAAATGAAGTTAAGACATGATATTAAAATTTGCATCGATATTTTATTTTTCTTTTCATAAGCAAAATTTTATTAGTCCACTTAAGATCTAATTATTTATTCCATTTTTTTAAGCAGCTTAGGGTCTTATAATTTGGAAAGAAGAGGGTCGCTTTCTTTTTAGTATCACTTGTACATCAAATTTTTAAGTTGCGATTACTCAATGTGTTCAACGAATAAAAAATTGCAAACACAACCAAATTTGAATTTATCGATTTGTTGACTCAGCCATTGCGTGCAATCTATTACTGCATTTTCTCTTTTAAGTTCAGTTTCTTTCTTTATAATTTGTTTGCTGCATTTTGAAGCTGTGTATATTGATTAATTTCAAATGAAGATAACGCTGACAAAATGTATTAATTGATTGAGGGGATTGGGAAATGTTACTCGGATCTTGCAATGCAATTGGTTTAACGATTTGTTTATTGTATCCATCAGATATTGAAGAGATGGAATTAAGAATTAATGCTTCTCCCACATGTTACAATGGTGTAGCAGGAATTCTTATGCTTCAGCTTCACAATTCCCAGAAAATTTTATGATTCTTGCACTGCGGTCATCATACTAAATAAAATAAAATATCAATCATAACTCAACCTAGGTTTAATTTGAATAAATTTTTAATAAAAATTTATAATAAAAATTAAAAAAATATAAATTAAAATTAACTTATACATTTGAGTTTTTTGAAAAGTTAACCAAAGGGTTTTTCAAAAAATGTAAAATACATGACTTACATTTAACTTATAAAAAGTTTAAATCATTTTATATATTATTTTTCTCATTAATATTATTTACCTAAACAGAGCAATAGAGTTTTATTGTTTTTTCTAAACAGTATATAGCAACTGATGCAGCTGGCATTTTCTGTTCGAAGATCTAACATTAAAGACATGCACGAATGTGGAGGCACATGATGCTAAATCTCCATTTCATCATGTTGCAGTGGGAGCAAACATGTATGGATTTAAACCAAATTAAATATGAATAATTAATTATATTTTAACTTATAAATAGTACGTAATAAATAATTAATAGTAAATTTTTATTTGAAACTATAATACTTAATAATACTGATGTACTGAATTATATTAAATTTATATATTAACATTTAAGCAGTGATTTTGAAGTTTCAACATTTAATATCTTCAATATTGTACATTTTTCCTTAAGGGTAAGATAAATGAAAAATAAAATCTAGCTGTGAAGTTAAATATTCCACTGAAGGGGACAAGTTAAGCCAAAGAACCGAAGAATGAAGAAATCTCTTTAGAAGACATGCATCTCGGAAATCAAGAGAAAGTTGATCAAATTACACGATTTCCTATGCTATAAGTTCAATATTTATGAAAATATATTATGATAAAAAAAATTTTAATGACTCACATAAAAAAAGAGTTAAATAAAGTTATTAGTCCCTAAAATATCATATTTTGAATTTTGTTAATTGTACTCATTGTCAAATTCAACAAAATTTTTATAAAAACTTAAAAAAAACTAGAAATTTTTCTAAAGACTAATTAGTTAATTAAGTTTAAAATGTCTGAGAACCTATTTATAATAAATGTTTATTAAAAATTATATAGTATTACTAAATCTAATGCATTGATAATATTAAATATTGAAGTTTTTAATTAAAAAATTATTAATTTATTTACGTGTGTCATTAAACGCACGTTAAAATATTATTAATAAAAATAAATATACCTATAGTTTATGACAGCAATAACTATATCGACTTGTTTAAGAAACTTGCAGGGTTGATTCCGATAGATGGTGTGTATCAATTAAGTTTTTAAGTGATCTTAAATTATCTTTCAAAAAAGTTTGTTTCTGAATTAATTATTAAAGGATTATGACAATGATTAAATTTATCATTTTATATTATTACTTTAATATTTCAAAAAAAAAATGTGACGATGATTTTGTTTTAATAATAGAATATACAATTGTTATGCAATTAGATTATTACTCTCACTGTTCCATAACGTTCACAAGTGATTGAAAATGAATGAGATATAGCTGATAGATGGTGGTCCAATATGAGCAATGGTTACTCAGAATGTGCACAAGTGGCCTTTGTATCGTGGCAATATGCAAAATCATTACGAAGAAGAAAAAACCATTATTTCTCTGCATCCACCATTTTTGTTCCTTTGCTCAGCATTAAATCTAAACAAGTGGTTTTGATAGTTCCACCTGTTTTTATAAGGTGATCCATTGTTGTTTTCTACTCACTCTGCCAAAGAAAATGTTCTTTACTCGTTATTTTCTTTGGATCGTTTTCTTTGTTTTTTCACACCTCATCATATTTTCATGGCTCATTGGCCTAGTTTGCAGCTGAAAGATAACCCTTTTTTTTTGTCCCATTCGGGTCCACTGCTGCAAACGACAGCACCAGAATGTGAAGTGATTTTAGTGTGAATAAAACTTGTTTAAATTATTGTTTGCCAACAAAATTTGTTTCAATTTTTCGTAATTTTCTTTTACTAATTCTACTACTGTTGGTGAAGTTATGACACGATATGCTTTAGTAGATTAAATAATTAAAAAAATGAAAGTTAAAAAAAAACTGTGATGTTTGAATTGACTGTTTCAATTATTTGTAATTTTCTTTTACTTTGGTAAATTATAAAATAATAGAAACTAAAATGATTGATAATTATGTATATTAAGAATCTAAATGAAATTTTACTTGTTTTTTTAAAAATAATATGAACCAAAATTATTGTTTAATAGAAAGAAAAATCTATTTCAGGTTTTTTATTCCTTCCAATTTTATTCTTTGAATTGTTTACCACAGAAAACATGAAAGTGCTCCCACAAAATCGTACTTGCAATGGACAGGATCTTTTGAAAATTGGCCTAAACTGCATTGGTACTGTTCCCACCAACCAAGCACTGACTTCACTTATCGAATGCGAAGCATCACTGTGCTTGTGACTTGTTTCTTAGCAGGGAACGTGCTTTTGACTTGAGAAACAACAAAAGTGTAATTACCACGGATTTGTCTAAGTACTAGTTTGCTTATTGATTTATTTAATATAATACAAATTTTAAATAATATTTTTTATTAAAAATTATAATTTTTGAATCATATATTCTTGAACACAGGTTAAAGAAATTTTTTATTTAAAACTGAAGAATCAATTTTTGTAATTTACAATATAAAACATCCGTTTTAATAAGAATATGTGATTCAAATTATTGCGTATTATTATACATAGGCTAAAAAAATCATTTATTTAGAGTTGAAGAGCCACTTTTTGTACTTCTCAATACAACACACATTTTTAATTAAAAGTAAATTATGACTCGAATTAATTTACATGTCTCAAATATTCAACAGTTTTAAATTAATTTATTTAATTGTAAACCAAATAGTCATTAAATTATCTCAAAATAAATAATCTCAACTTAAAAAGAACTAATAAAATTTTATTTTAAAAGGTTAAACAAATAATTAATATAAATTTGAATATAGTATTTAAACTACATCAAATTACATAATATAAAATTATTTATCTCACAAAATAACTAGTCCAATCTCAATTACCACACTCATCTACACATTCACCGGACCATAGGAAACAGTCACCGAACAAATAAGTTGTCTTTAATCAAATTCTTCTGATCTATTGCGCTCAATTATCACTTGGCAATCAAAATAGCAACACTTTTACAGCATGCAAACTTGTACAATTGTCATTTGCCAGTTCATAATATCTTCTTTTATGGCATTGATTGATGAGCACAAAGTGCCACAACCGACAAGGTTTGCTTGGCTGTTAATTGGTGTGTTAAAATGAACATAAAAGTCATTGAGAACTGTAGTATATTCACATATATAAAATTTTCCTAGTAAATCAGAAAATGCACAAATTCATTGAAAGTGCAGCAAGTCACATAAAATTTTATACTCCCTTTAATTAGAGATTATTACATATTTTGAGCATAAATCCTGAGAGAACATTTTTTTTTTATCATGTAAAATATATATGTTCTGAGCGAACACATACAAGTACACAAAAAAAAAATTGAAAAAAAAAAATACAGAAAGCAAAACAAAACAGAAGTATGAGAGGAGGGGAAAGAGACATGGATAAAATTTTAATAATCAGAGATACTAGGAAGCCAATAGGCACATGCAAAAGTCCCTGCTATGATGAACTTTGGAACCACTTAAGCAGGCACCTTTCCCCCCTTGAGAGGCTTCACAACCTCCCACGTAAAGTCAGTGTCATCTCTACCAAAATGTCCATAAGCAGCAGTCTTCAAGAACCTGCCACCCCTTTTGAGATCAAGGTTGATAGAGATCATGCCAGGCCTAAAATCAAAGTTCTCCTTCACAATTTTGAGGATTTCCTTGTCAGGGATCTTTCCAGTGCCATATGAGTCAACAAAGACAGACAAAGGCTCAGGTACACCAATGGCATAAGACACTTGCACAAGGCACCTTCTAGCGAGTCCATTTGCAACTATGCTCTTAGCAGCTTGTCTCACAATGTAAGCTCCACTCCTATCAACTTTTGTTGGGTCCTTTCCTGAGAAAGCACCACCACCGTGTGCGCCCCATCCTCCATAAGTGTCAATGATGATCTTGCGGCCAGTGAGACCAGCATCACCATGAGGACCACCAATGACAAACCTACCAGAAGGGTTAAGGTGGAAAATGGTCTTCTCATCAAGGTACTTCTCAGGGATCACAGGCTTGATAACATGCTCTTTGAGATCAGAAGCAATTTCATCATTTGTCACTGTCTCATCATGCTGTGTAGAGATAAGCACAGTGTGGACACGGATAGGAACCATTGCACCCTTGTCATTGAAATACTCAACAGTGACTTGGGTCTTGCCATCAGGCCTCAACCAAGGGCAAGTTCCATTCTTGCGCACTTCAGTGAGGCGAGCCCCAAGCTTGGTGGCAAGAACATGACTCAATGGCATGAGTTCAGGGGTCTCATCAGTGGCATAGCCAAACATGTGACCTTGGTCACCAGCACCAATCTCCTCAGGCCTCTTTGTGAGATGGCCATGCACACCCTGAGCAATATCAGGGCTTTGTTGCTCAATGTTGACAAGGACCTTGCAGTTGTCAGCATCAAGACCAACATCATCGGACACAAACCCAATGTTTCTGCAAGTGTCACGCACAATCTTCTCATAGTCAACGTTGGCTTTGGTTGTGATCTCTCCAAAGACCATCACCATGTTGGTCTTGGTGCAGGTTTCACAAGCAACCTTGCTATCTGGGTCTTGTTCCAAGCAAGCATCGAGCACAGCATCAGAGATCTGATCACATAGCTTGTCAGGGTGTCCCTCGTTCACTGATTCAGATGTGAATAGGAATGTCTCCATGGCCATCTTTAATAACTGTAAAATCACAGCAAACCAAAACATAAAAAATTAGCACCTAAAACAAAACTCTCAAAGAAAGAGCACCAGCATGACTACAATTTAAACAGAAGTACAGAACAGTCTAACCCAACCCATTTCAAATCATGCCTCCCAAATCAGCTAGAACACTAGAATCAACAAATCCCACCAAAATTCAAGTTCAAAATTTGCTCTTTCGCTAAATCCAGCACAACACACACATTGTACCCGCTGTAGGAACCTACCAAATCTCACCAAATCAAGAAAAACAAAATTCACTGAGAAATTGTCACAAACTAGATGAAAAATGGCACCAAAAGCACATCAATTATCCAGATCTAAATTCCCAAAAGCGAATTCCATCACAACCGGAGAAACTAGCAAGTCAAAATGCAGATCAGATTTCTACTCCAGACAACAACATTCAGTTAAACCGGGTTCAAGAAACCAAGACCGACCCAGTTGAGGAAAAAGCAAAACAAACCAACCCAGAAGCCCAAAATCCAAACTTGAACCCTTGGATCTACAGAGAGAAAAACACGTGCAGCACAGCACAGCACAGCACCGAACCGAAACAACTCAAATGAAAGCTAAAAGAAAATGAAGAAAGAGAAGAATAACAGTACCTGACAAAAGAGGCACAAAGAAGAGAGGTAACTGGATTGAGAGAGAGAGAAAAGGGTGGTTGCTTGAACAGAGAGAACCCGCTTAGAAGTGGTTGTGTCTGCTCAAGCTGTGTGAGTCCAAAGGGAAGACTCGGGTGCGGATTTATAGGCATAGGTTGGGGGTGGGTGGAGTGCAATAAATGACTGAAAAGCCCCTGTGATGCAAGATCTGAGTTAGATTCATCATTCATCCACTTCCCACGCTTATGCCACGTGGACGGCTGAGATTCTATCTCAGGTGAATCTCAGCCGTGTAGATGATCAAGGACACGGTGTCGTCGGTGGGTGAGAGGAGCAGTGAATGAGAGATAAAAATGTCATGGCCACCACAACGCGCTTCCATGTGGACCCCATTACTTAAGAGTTATTTACTTCATTTTTTTTTTAATTTTTATTTAATCATTAAAATATTATGGTACAAATCTTATTATAAAACTAATAATGTTTTACATGTCTTTAAGCACTAACATTTTGATTACCTACCCCCAAACACAACCATGGTACTTGTTGTCGTTGTGGTGGTGGTGGTTGGTTTTATGGTTTTTGACTCTTATGGTCCCAATCTGGATTGATATGAATTGGATATTGGGACAGTGAGAATTCCAGTTTTTTCTCTTTCAATTCCGTGTAGACAAATGCTATTCTCTCCCTAATTTGATTTTCTTCTTATTTTATGCGCGTGACAACTTTTAGTAGGCAGTGATCAACTTCTTTTATTCATGCTTTGATTTTGCATAGCTGCGTTTTAATTGGAGAGGGAGTTGTTAATTTGTGTATAAATTTTAGTAAATAGTGGAGTTTAAATTTGTTACATATATGATGGATATAATATAAAAAAATCCTTGTATTGCACGTGCTATTAAATAGTTAGTGTACATGAGATTTAACAGGCTGCTTTTATAAAGGGTTATTTTTATATTTGCACACTCACTAAATAAGTGTGAAGTAGGTGAGATAAGACCCAAAAAAAATGTGATAGATAGTGTGATAAAAAATAATATTAAATTTAAAAGTAAGTGTGAGAATGTAATTATTTTGTAATTTACAAATAATAAGAAGTTAGACCCACTTTATTAATACGTTTGAGATAACTTTTAATGAAAAATCAGACAAAAAGGGTAGTAAACTGGTAAAGAATGAAAAACACAAGAAATAAATTTTAAAAGACTATATTGAGAATAAATAAACTAAATTATCTATACTTTTGAATTGGTAAGTAAATATAGAACCTGGTTGTGCAAATTAGAATTATACATGAGTGAGTTATGAATTTGTAAAATAAAAAACAATAATCATTCAAATTTTATCATTAAAACATTAAACAAAATAATGTTAGTTAAATTAGGTTAAATTAAAAGTTTGATCCTTACATTAGGTTAGTTTGTAGCGTTTTTTTAAAAGGGATTTTCTCTTCTAACTGTGATATTCTGTTGTTTGTTCTAAAAGTTCAACTTGTAATATCATTTTCTCATGACACGTATACATTAATTCTTTAAAGAATATTCTTCTGATTTTATTTTATTTTTTTTACTTTTTCGATAGTGTGTATCTGAAATTTTTTGAATTGTTTAAATGTTGATCTTCTGATATACTTTCAATGACGTACTCTTATTCTCATTAAGATACAAGGATACAGAGACGCTTGAGGAGATCTATAAAGCATTTTATAAGATAAGTTTGAAAATTTTGTCATTTAATAAACACATAAATATTAAAAAAATTATGTAAAAGTGTTGACTCGCCAAGGAAAAATGCTTGCCTTTCTCATTTGAAAACATGTTGTAAAAACATGCAAAGTTATGATATTATACTACCCCTAATATTATATTATACTATACCCCTCGAAAAGATGTTGTTCTTTAATGTTATGCTGTCAAAAAAATTAGTTTAACATTAAGTTTATTGTTACACGTAACATAGTTATGAAATTGGTTAAAATTAGTTTTAGTTACAAGTTATAAAAATAATTAAAATAGTCTTGACAAGAACTCGCAATCTAACTATCTTAAGGCTTTGGATCAGATGTAATATCTAAATCAGTTTGTATAATTTGTTTGTAATCGAATGAAAATCTTTGTAATGATTTAGTCAAAATAATTAAAAAAATTAAACATAACCCTGAGGTTGTTGTAAGTGAATCGATTTATATTTTTTTTTTCTGTTATCCTTTATATTATCTGAATAAACTTAGTATTTTTAAAGTAATGTCTTTTTTAATTAACGAAAGTTGGTTTGAGTAGTAAAGTCTTGATATTGCTAAAAAAAAGTCTCGCGTTTGAACTTTTGCGAGTTGTGAGTGATGCCTTTTTTAAAATATATCATTTGATTGACTTGTTTGTGGACCGACAATAATTGAACAATATTTTTTTATATATAAATTTATTTTAAAAAAAAGAAAACTTATTCAATCTTTTCTCTTTTTTCTTATCTCACTTTTATTTATGAAAAAAAAAATTAAAGAGTAAAGATTCTAATTCATCCTTTTAAAATGATCTCTTTACATAACTGATGAGTAAAAAAAGTTGTCATGAGATATTATGTCTTAGTTTTATATTTGACATGCTCTTCTCCTTTAAAAGATATGTGTATTTGTATGACTTATTACACAATGTCACACCTACAAATTATAAGATTTTTAGAAGCAACATATTTGTATGACTTTTTCTCAAAACAAACCATTGACAGTAATTATTGAATTCCTTAATCCTTACTTTTATTAAATTGTTTCGTTGATAGTAATTTCTTCCATGTTAATATTTGGTGGAGGATTCTTAAAGATTCACAAAAAGAATGACTTTTGAGTTTTTCTCATTTTATAGGCAGGAGAAATGCTCTTTTAACAAAACTCATAGTTTTTAAATGTGAATTATATTATACTTAATTTCATAACTTTAAACATGTGATTTACAGCCTAAAAGCAATGAATGTTTCAATAAAAAAAAATATTTTAACTTTTATACTCACCGTTTAAGACATTTTTAATTAATTTCACAGTAATTAAAATATTAGCATCCTCTATATTTTTAAGGATCCAAACAAAGTGACAACTCGTTAAATTAAAGTTTAGAATATTTAATTATGTGAAGATTTTTTTTTACTAGTATAGTGTATTTCTTTACTCTTTAAGATATAATTTCTTTACCGACTTTATTTTTTTAAAAAAAAATTCATAAAAATTATTAAAAAGTTGGTCGACATGAGATCATTATTTTGTCTTTTCAATATTGTATAACTAAATAAAAGACTATCATCCACCGTTAAGCCAAGACTAAAATATAGAAAATACTATTAAATTACTGCCTTTGGTCTGGAACTTTATTTTCTTTTCTTTTAGACGTGTGTTGTGTCGAAAGAAAATAATTTACTGAACTTGAAAATATAGAATGTACTTAAGCTTTTGCTAAAATGTACTTAGTAATTATTAAGGGGAGTTCGTTCATATGATTCAAGTAGCTAAAGACAATTTATGAATTTGGTTTGCATCTAATTATTTTTATTAACAAATAATTTATAATCCATTTATAAAAATCACATGCAAATTGTGCTTAGAAAAAAGGTTTTGACAGAAAATACTATATTTTTATGGTATCAACATCTCATGAGATCAGCATCAATTATTCTGAACCTCTCTTATGACTTGCATGCATGCGTTCACTAATCAACGAATTTCGTTTTTCATTTTTGTTCGAAACACATTTAGTAGGAAACATTTTCTTACAATTAGTTTATGATGCCACCAAACACAGGAAGTAAGTAGGGAAGACATATTCAAAGGGAAACACAACGATGATTGGTTGATTATTATATGGAACAAAGAAGAGGGTAGGTGGGTTACGTTGCAACATCCTCTTCATACCAAACACAGTGAAAAGGACAATAATATTATGAATTCCAACGTACTTTAATTTATAATTATATATAAACAATGATGAATTGCAATATCATAAAAGTAATAATGATAGCGTTGTCTAAATAATCTGACAGCAGCCCAATAAAGTGAGGATTCTTTCTCAGTTCTAAGTTCTAAGTCTGAGGTCAAATTAAAGGGCACAGTATGTTGCCCTTACGTGTGTGTCTCTGTAGGATCCTATGGATTTTAGTTTTGTTGTGTTTAGTATTTAAGGTTGAATTTAAGGACGTAATTAAATTATAATGATAAATACTTCTATTTAAATAAAAATTATTTTTTAATTATTTAAATTTATATAAAATTAATATTTTTATTATTTTTTAAAGTGTTTTAATATAATTTTCAACTAAAACTAATTTTTTTCAATATAAGATAAAATTTTAATGTAAAAAATACTGAAAAAATTGCATCAAATAATTTTTAATTTTTGCTTGGTTGCACTTTTAGTCCTCATATTTTAAGCTTATGTGTAATTTTTATTCTTCTAAATTTAATTAATCATATTTAATTTTTTTAATTATTTAAATTAAGTCTCTTATTCAAAAATTTCATCTAACAATTAACAAAATATAATAATTGTGTAATATATCATTTATTTATACAAATTTATAAAACAATTATCTAAAATAATTAAATAAAAATAAGATAGCTTTTATTATAGTTTACATATTTTTATTTAAATATTTAATACGTGTTTTGTTACTAAATTAGATAAATTAATAACACGTTACCACTTCTATTTTATTTTCGTTAATTACTTGATGAAATTTTTAAATAAAAACTTAATTTAAATAATTTAAAGTTTAAAATAATAAATTTGAAAAATTAAAACTAAAGAAACTAAAATAACATGTAGGTTAACTGGATCAAAGAATATATAAAAATAAATAAATAATGATTTTTTATACAAAAATCATAACATTTAGTATTATATATATATATATATATATATATATATATTAAATTTTATAAAATCTTATAATTTTTGCATAATTTTTATTGTATACCCATAAATACTTAAAAAAATTAAAATAATTTTCTAGTTATGATTAATTTAGATACACATAACAATTACATTTAAAAATATAGAAATGATTTTAACTAGTTCTAAACTAAAGGTATACTGACAGTGTCACTGTGAGTTAAGTTTTCACAAATCAGTAAAAGGAGGATAAATAATTTATTTATAAATTAAATGAATTATACTAATTTAAAAAATAAGCAAATTAATAATACATCAATTTTACATCATTTTATATTTTATTTAAAATTATCAAATTAAAAAATATTTATCCATTTCTTTAATAATAAACTCCTAATCATATTTGATTACTTATTTGGTTTAAAGTTAAATAAAAATTTTAATAAAGTTAATTTTAAATTACAAAGAATAAATAAAAAATATATAATAAATTATTTTTTTATATTCAAATGGAAGAATTGAAGCCCTAATTTGCATTGCCTCCAAGCTTATTGGCTGATAAAGTGAGAATTGATGAGAAGGGGCATCAAAACACAGCATGTATGTGAGTACAGCATTTGCAGGTCAAAATAAGTGTTTGGTCATTGTCTTTTCTATGTTGTGACTCGTGGGACCAAGAAGTTATACGAATAAACAAGTTCAATAATTCAATGCCTCCTTTGTTCTAACCGTAATTATTAAATACATCCATCACCCATCTCTTAAATTTGGAGAAAATTTCTGCAGAGAGTGTTATTCGTACGAGTTCAAATATAATCAGTGTAATGGTTCTTAATTATACAAGCAAACCATTATAAAAATTGCTAAACAATTCAATTAGCCTGCAATTTTTTTTTTCATTCCATTGATAAATAATACGAATTTAGAGTGATTAGAATTTCATGTAGGTGAAAGTCCAAAAATGAATCAATGTTATATAAGATACATCTTTCTAAATTATTTGATTTTGTACTCATAAATTTTTATCATTAGTATCTACATAACCTTATGTGAGCTTTATTTTAAAAAATTACTAAACAACTCAATTAGCCTGCAAATTTTTCATTCCATTATGTTGTGGAACTAACATGATTAGCCAACCAGCTTGACATTTACAGAGAATCAATATGCAAGTAAATAACTTTTCCGTCAACCTATTCTTGAAGGATAATCCGCATGATGCACATTAATGGGGAGAAGCTAGATTTCACGATATTTCCGTCAAGTTATTGACTACTGCGTTAACAAATCATTTCTTGCGAATAGGTTTTAATAAATTGGAACCAAAATAAAAATGCAGTGTATATATTAATTAAAGTGAGGTGGGCATACACACGTATAAGGAGGTTGCAAATGCCTACAGTGTTGGAGATAAAATCTTTGTTTCACTAAAGAGAAGGAAAAAAATAATGAGAGGGGGGCTAATAATCTGAGAAGTATAACTATGTAAACAATGAAACAAATCCTTTAGAAACAATAAGAAGCACATCAAATGTGTTGAACAGCCAAATGAAATTATGGTACCATCAACACAAGTGCATCACAATTACCCGCTGACAATTCTAGGTCACGAAACCCATTTCCAGTCAACTTTAATGCCAGAAATGTGGGAAATTCTGTCCCAAATTTGAGGATGCTTCTTCTTGCACAGTTTTCCCAACAAAGGAGAGCGATTGATTTCGAGTTTTATCAGAGAGGGAGGCAATCTTTCCCCCACCATATTGTTCAGTTTGGGGCAGTCTCTAATACTTAAAACTTGAAGGGAGGTGAGATGGAGAAGGCTGTTGCAATCCATCGTCTCCATAGTTTCAAAGTCCTCCAGTTCTAGAGTGGCAAGAGAGGGAAGCTGAGGCAACAAACCCTCCCTTAAGAATGAATTGGCACCACCAATGGTTAAATTAGTGAGACCCTGGTGCACACCTATTAATGATAGGCACATCAATAGATTCTCGCAATTCACAATACCAAGTGTTGCCAAGTTGGCCGGAAGACCCCCTTCAGAAAACGAATCAATGTTAGGGCAATCTCTCATTGAAAGAGAATTTAACCGAGGGAGTAGAGTATTCATGTGAGAAGGTAATGACTTCAACATATGGCAGTCCTCGAGATAAAACCCAGTCAGTTTGGGTGCATCCAATCCTTCTGTTGGGAACCCCACAAAATTAGGGCAGCTATAAATGTCGAGACTCTCTAGAATAGATGCCTTCGACTGTACTGGTGGCATTGAAAAAGATTGCAAAGTTAAACACCCTCTAATTTCCAGACACATGAGATTGGGAAAGGCCTCCAATGAGAAAGATGCGAGTGAATCGCAGCTGTCAATTATTGTTAACGACTCTAACAAGCTATGTTGATTTGGGACATGTACATTTCTACAGTTTTCGATTGTGAGGTTCTTCAAACATTTTGGTAAACAATCACTTGAAATTGCCAAGGCACAGGAACAATTTGAGATGCTTAAAGATTGTAAACAAGTTGGTTGGGCGCTGGTGATGACCCCAATCACGGACTCCACCAGCTCCAGTCCTTCAACGAATAAAGACTGTAATAAAATAGGAAACTCTTGCAATCTTACTCCATTGCTACCAGATATCCTTAACTCCTGTAATGAAGGAGTCTGCTTAAGAGAAGAAACAAGCAGCTCACATTCTCCAATTCGAAGAACTTCCAAAGCAAGAAATTGATTGGGCAGATTTGTTAATTTGGGACAACTTTGTATATCAAGTCTTTTCAATAGAGGAAGTTGATGAGGCAGATCTCCCCTTAAGCCAGGACAATCAATTATTTTTAAGGCCTCAAGTTGAGGAAATGCATAGGATTCAGATGAATGCCACACCTCCCAACAAGACATTCCATCGAATCTTAGTTTCACTAACGACGGAAACGGTGTTTCTAGAGAAGAAACATCGTTACCGTTCTTGTAAAACTCATCACCAATTCTCTCCAACATATCAAAATATGAAATCAACAAGGACTTGAGATGTGGTAGTTGTCCAAGTGAAGGAAGGAAACAACAATTCCTACAAGATGCAAGAGTTACATGAGTCATCTTGTGGTAAGAAGAATGCCCTACCCAATCTGAAAATCTTGTACCCCTATACCCAACGATTTCAAGTGCTTCTAGGCCTTTGTGAGGTTGTAACTTGTCAAATATTTCTCCTTCAATGTGGGAGGATGTATTCATATCCCTATCCCGAGACCAGTCTAAGGTCAAACATTTTATGTGTGTCTTATTCTTTATCCTTGCTTCCTCTGCTTCGCTACTATTAGTAACATTCTCCAATTTCATGAGTTGTAGGAATTGATGGAGATCAGAGAGTTCTCCTAATTCCTTGATCCCATTCTCTTCATGCTTGCCCACAACGAAGTCACTTAAATACTGCAGATGTTTTAGTTTGCTCATTCCCCGAGGCATCTCTTTTAGTTTTGTACCCGTGACATCAAGATGTCGCAAATTCACAAGATTTTGCATACCACTTGGCAACATAGTTAGACAATCACAAGAAGACAGCTTCAGTGTTTGTAAATTGTACAATTTGCTCAATGATGTTGGCAATGTTTCGATACTTGTATCAGAGAGATCCAAGTAACGAAGATGGATCAATTCACCTATTTGATCAGGTAATACCCGAAATTCTCGACAATTGTTGAATGACAAAACTCTTAGGTATTTAAACTTTGATAATATGATCAAAATGGCACGCTCAAAGGGGAGCGAAGGACGTGAGAATTGGACTTGCAAAAATGTTCTCAAAGATTTTAATTCATCAATAGCATCGAAAGTTTTTGAAATTGAATGAGTCAACGTTCCATACGACAGATGACGAGTAAGAGTCTTACTCTTGTCAAACATCCCAAGTTCTTCTGACCAAAAATAGAATTCCCCAGCAACAGATATGGCCAAGTCATGCATCAGGTCATGCATTACAAAATACCCATAATCAGTTCTGAGCTTTTTAAGAAAAGATCGAGAAGTGAAATCAGCAAAACACTCGTAACCAACTTTTTCCAACGTCTCTCCTCTCTTTGGTGATCGCAGAAGATCTTCCCCCATCCACAGGGGGATTAGTTCATCTTCATAAAATCGATAATCCTTGGGGAACAACGCAAAATAAGCGAAACAACGTTTTAGATGTGGAGGGAGATGGTAATAACTTATTTTCAGAGCTGGAATAATTTTACTATCTTCCATTGGAATTCCCCAAAGGTCACTTGTCAATACAGTCTTCCAATTCCCTGCATCATGTTTTGTTTGCAATAGACTACCAAGGGTTTCTGCAGCCAAAGGCAATCCTCGACACCTCTTGACAATGTCTTTACCAATTCTTTCTAGATTTGAATCGCCACCAGATTCTGGAAAACGGGCATGCTTTGCAAACACTGACCAACAATATTCATCCGACAACTCATGTAGAGGGTACGGTGGAACAGTTTGGACTATTGAAGCAACCTTTTCAAGTCGAGTTGTCACAAGAATTTTACTTCCTTTAGTCCCGTATTGAAAAGGCTTTTTAAAACTATTCCAACCGTGTTGATCAATGTTCCAAACATCATCCAAAACAACCAAAAACCTCTTCCCTGACAACTTTTCCTTCAAATCAAGTTGAAGTAAATTTAAATCCTTTGCATCACAAGCATCACGAGTAACCGCCGCTATGACAGCCTTTGTAATGTTAAAAACATCAGATTCTTCAGAAACACAAACCCATGCTTTCAAATCAAACTTCCCCATCAAATTCTCATCATTGTACAACCACTGGACTAAAGTGGTTTTTCCAACTCCACCCATGCCCACAATAGGAATCACACAAACATTTTCTTCACTACTCACGTCTAACAGCAGCTTTTTCATGTTCTCCTTATCTTGATCCCTTCCATAAATATCAGATCCAGATCCAGGTCCTTCTGGCAAAGATGTTGTTTTTCTCCATGAGAAGTTCTCACTCGGAATCTCTTTCAAACCAAGAGTATCTTTGAACTTAACAAGATACTCTAATCTGCTAGTGATGACTTCTATTTCACTCACCACCTTTCTATCTCCCAAATTGAGAAAGCGAGAGAAATAGGCATTTACCTCCTTGTGAGTGGCAGCTTCAGTAGAGAGACGATCCAACAAGTCATCAGCCACATAAACAGCATCTCTGAGATCATGAAGCCACTTCTTCACAGCATGATCGTTGATTTGTTTGTGTTCAGCATCATTAAGCACAGCCTCAACAGCATAAAGGGTAGTTTTCAATCTTTCAACTAACTTGTGGTCAAGCTTCTTGCCTCGGATCAAGCTTGCAACTTCAGGTGAAAGAAGCCGATCAAAGACAACGTTAACAAAGCCGGAGAGAAAAGCTCCACCCACAAGTGCTCCTGCCATGATGAATCAGAGGACACACAAAATGCTTCAAACTTTGTACCGAACACAGTTTTTTTCCAAAAGTATAAATATTGCAAGAGAAATATAGGAAAATAAATATAAAAGAAAAATGCTGACCAAGTATATTAAAGAAGGCTTTTTGTATTTAAATAATATTTTTTTAAAACAAATTCTTAAAATATGATTTTAAAAAAATTAATTCCCTGGGTCTCAGGTCTTTTTTCACGAAGTCAATATTAGTATCGGACGTATATCAACAATAATAATTTTTTAATATTATTTTAGAAGTGTATCATCTTATAAGTGGCTTCACATTAACAACACAGATTCATAAGATTTTTGACGGTGACAATTGAGACACTTGTCATAATTATAAGTATTATTTGAGATGAGACGATAAATCTATCGGGGATCGTATTACATCAGCATTATCGGCTAAAATGGGATAATGCTTTGAAAATTTTGTTAAAAAAATTATATAGGTTAGATATATTTTTATTTAGTTTTACATTTTTATTTATTTAAATTTATTAATATTATTAATTTATAAATATTAGTAAAAAATTAATTATTTATTCATGCATATTTAGAAAAATTGTTTTTTTATTATTGAGTAAATTTTTCAATGTGTAATGATACATGTTGATTTTAAAAGTCTGTTATTTTTATTTGGCCGATACAAGTGTAACAATAACACGTGTTTGTTATTGTTTTTATTTATTTAATATTAATTATTTTATTTTTATAATTTATTTTTTAGACTAGTATTAAATATTATGAGACGATAGGCTTTTAAAATAATATTAAAAATAATTATCATTCATATGCGTTTAATACTTATGCTTGTTTGGCCAAAAAAAGATCTCAGACAGATAATTAGTTCTTTTAAATTATATTTTAAAAATTTGTTTTAAAAATATATTATTTAAATAAAAAATTTATTAAAGAAAAAACTTACATTTTTTTTATTTCTTGATAGATATGTTACTTTGATAAAATTTTAATTTATAAATAATATTAATAATATTTAAAATTTAAAGTTTACTTATATTTAAATATTAATTAAAAATGATGGAAAATATTAAAAAAATATAAACCTGCAACGAATAATAAAGTCTTTTGAAAAATTAAATATATATTTTTTAAAAAAAAGTCATGGAAAAGTGAGTTTTGGTGGTGGAAAACGGGTTTATGTATACTTGTTTTTATCTGCTTTTGAAGTCTTGCTCTTTACTCATCCTTTCTTTTCATGGCATTGCTGTTACTAGTATGATATTTTTTTTTAAATAATGATTATCGGCTTAGATAATAAAAACAAAAGATATATTTATATTGATCATTTAATCAAGGTATAAAGAAAGAGGAGGGTTAAAATTACGTATTGATCAAATCTTTTTCTCAATTTCACCAGTCAAATATAAATTAGACCAATATTTCATTTTTATTTATTTATTTATACTTTTATCTTAAAGTTACGAGGTATTTAGATATTTATTTTAAAGAATGCAATTGTTCTACGGCCATAAAGTGGTTGAGAAAAAAAGTTTAGACATTTTAAACAAAATTATATAATATTATTTATGTTGTTGGGCTTTTGAAAACAATCGTAATTTTTTATTAATTTCAGAGTTTTAACATTAATTGAAAAAATTGTCGTTAACTAACACCAATTATGTTATTTACAACTGAAAAAAGTGTTGTTTCTCTTGCTTCTGTCGTCTCTTTTATCTTTCCTACATTTTTTGATGCAATTGTTTTCCATTACAACCAATCCTGTCATTATAATATTAATGACAGAATTAAGCTCAACCCAGTGAATCAAATAAACAATGTGTAATGATAAGATTACATTCTCATTTCATTAATTGGCTTAGCAGACACTAGTGAGCTATAATTTCAGTGTTTTCATCGAACACCTAACATCTCAGATCAAGAAAACATACAATCCACAGTGTCATCATCCTTATTCATTCATCCACGTGCATTATAAGATTACATTAAAAGTTAACACTATATGTAATATACTGTATATCATTGTTTTTATCTTTCATTATTTTTATTATACTTGTTTTTATCTGCTTTTCAAGTCTTGGTCTATCTGATATTACTGTTATAGCATCCTTTCTTATCATGTCTAGTCTTGGGGATGCCATATTCCATCTTTTTAAACTCTTGACAAAAAATAAAAAATAATATATATTTCCAGGGTGAGAGTTTTTTTCTCTCGTAAATATAGTGTATATTGTACTTTACATGAGTTATATTATTTTTTTCAAAATATTAAAAAAATGTACTATATGCAATATTTATATGCGTTTAATGCCTTTTCTGTCAAAATAATTTTTAAAAAAAAATAAATTCTCATTTAAATTTTTTTTTAAAAACTATTTCTTTGTTTAGGACAATTTTGTGTCTGGTCATCACCAAAAGCAGTGCAATACACGTTAAGTATTTGTTGATAACTCGTGACTGTTAAAAATTGCTACTTCAAATTTTTAATATGACACCCTGCAAAAAAATAAAAAGGTTGAAGAATTTATTTATTTAAATTAATGTTTATGAACTTAGGTACGTTTTATTTTAGTATTTATAAAATTAATTTGAAATTAATGAAAGGCATGTGACAATAATACACATACATTTATTAATATTGATATAGAAAAATATTAACCGACATTGATGTAACATGTATCGTATACTCTATGATACTTTTTAAAATTATGATTATCAGCATAGATAATAAAAATAAAAGATATATTTTTTGAAGGTCCTATAATATTTATGAAATTGAGTTTATTTAAATTTTTCCTTGGTTGCATGCCTTTTTTTTTTTTTTTCCATGTGTTATTGTTGATTCTGAAGAGCATGAGAAAATACTAGTAAACTACTGCCTTTGGTCTTGAAGTTTCTTTTCTTTTCTTTTGTACGTATGTTGTATTGAACGAAAATAATTTACTGAACTTAGAAAATATAGAATGTACTTAGGCTTTGCTAAAATTCTCTAGTCATAAAATCATGTATAAAGTTCATTAGATATAAGGACTAGAAAAGTGAAATCTACTTTAATGAATTTTAAATAAGTTTCAAACCTTACTCTTTAATACACAATATGCATTTCCCCTCCTAAAGCTCTCATCTTCAAAACTTGTATTTACATCTCCCTCAATCAACATGCATCTCAATACTTTTTTAATAGACTAATAAAAAGTTTTATATTTTTCAATTTCAGTTCCCCAATCCTTAATTTGAATTGACATGAACGTCGTGTTATTGATCTTTGTATGATTTTTTTTTTCAAGCAACACTCTTTATCCTTAAATAGAATGACTTTCACCCATATCCTATATATATACAAAGAAAAAATACAGTACCATTTTATTTAAATTAGTAATTACTAAGGGGAGTTCGTTTATATGATTCAAGTAGCTAAAGAAAATTTATGATTTTGGTTTGCATCTAATTATTTTTATTCACAAATAATTTATAATCCATTTATAAAAATGGCAAATTGTGCTTAAGAAAAGGTTTTGTCAGAAAGTAATGAAAATTGCATTTTTATGGTATCAATATCTCATGAGAACAGCATCAATTATTCTGAACCTCTCTCATGACTTGCATGTTTACTCTAATTAATTAATTTCATTTTTTATTTTTGTTTTGTTGAAATTGATGAAAATAACATATCTTAAAATTTTACATTGCTAAGGATAAACAAAAAAGTGAAAAAACAAAATTATATAATATATTTTTAATTTTTAATTGACTTTTTTTATAAATGTTTACTTTGTTACTCTAAATTTAAAGAAATTATTATTTTTTAATTATAATAAGATATTAAAGAATATTTATTTTTTAAAATAAATTATTAATTTTATTATTAAAATTAACGGTCATATAAAACATAGAATTCTCTCACATTTCACAGAACACCAAATTATCTAAAAATAATGAGAGGGGTGCTAATAAACTGAGAAGTATAACTATTTAAACAATGAAACAAATCCTTTAGAAACAATAAGAACCACATCAAATGTCTTGAACAGCCAAATGAAATTAAGGTACCATCAACACACGTGCATCACAATTACCCCCTGACAATTCTAGGTCACGAAACCCATTTCCCGTCAACTCGAATGCCAGAAATGTGGGAAATTCTGTCCCAAATTTGAGGATGCTTCTTCTTGCACAGTTTTCCCAACATAGGAGAGTCATAGATTTCGAGTTTTATCAGAGAGGGAGGCAATCTTTCCCCCACCATATTGTTCAGTTTGGGGCAGTATCCAAAACGTAAAACTTGAAGGGAGGTGAGATGGAGAAGGCTGTTGCAATCCATCGTCTCCATAGTTTCAAAGTGCAGCAGTTCTAGAGTGGCAAGAGAGGGAAGCTGAGGCAACAAACCCTCCCTTAAGAATGAATTGGCACCACCAATGCTTAAATCAGTGAGACCCTGGTGCACACCTATTAATGATAGGCACATCAATAGATTCTCGCAATACACAATACCAAGTGTTGCCAAGTTGGCCGGAAGACCCCCTTCAGGAAACGAATCAATGTTAGGGCAATCACTTATTGAAAGAGAATTTAACCGAGGGAGTAGAGTATTCATGTGAGAAGGTAATGACTTCAACATAGGGCAGCCACGAATATAGAGACGCTCAAGAATAGATGCCTTCGACTGTAATGGTGACATTGAAAAAGATTGCAAAGTTAAACACCCTGTAATTTCCAGACGCATAAGATTGGGAAAGGCCTCCAATGAGAGAGATGCGAGTGAATCGCAGCTGTCAGTTATTGTTAACGACTCTAACAAGCTATGTTGATTTGGGACTTGTACATTTCTACATTTTTGGATTCTGAGATTCTTCAAACATTTTGGTAAACAATCACTTGAAATTGTCAAGGCACACGAACAATTTGAGATGCTTAAAGATTGCAAACAAGTTGGTTGGGCGCTGGTGATGACCCCAATCACGGACTCTACCAGCTCCAGTCCTTCAACGAATAAAGACCGTAATAAAATAGGAAACTCTTGCAATCTTACTCCATTGCTACCAGATATACTTAACTCCTGTAATGAAGGAGTCTGCTGAAGGGAAGAAACAAGCAGCTCACACTCTCTAATTTGAAGAACTTCCAAAGCAAGAAATTGCTTGGGCAGATTTGTTAATTTGGGACAACGTTCTATCACGAGTCTTTTCAAGAGAGGAAGTTGATGAGGCAGATCTCCCCTTAAGCCAGGACAATCAATTATTTTTAAGGCCTCCAGTTGAGGAAATGCATAGGATTCAGATGAATGCCACACCTCCCAACAAGACATTCTATGGAATTTTAGTTCCACTAATGACGGAAACGGAGTTTCTAGAGAAGAAACATCATTACCGTTCTTGTAAAACTCATCACCAATATTCTCCAACATATCAAAAAATGCAATCTCCAAGGACTTGAGTTGTGGTAGTTGTCCAAGTGAAGGAAGGGTACAACAGTTGATACAAAAATCAAGTGTTACACTAGTCATCTTGTGGTAAGAAGAATGCCCTACCCAATCTGAAAATCTTGTACCCCTATACCCAACGATTTCAAGTGCTTCTAGGCCTTTGTGAGGTTGTAACTTGTCAAATATTTCTCCTTCAATGTAGGAGGATGTATTCATATCCCTATCCTGAGACCAGTCTAAGGTCAAATATTTTATGTGTGTCTTATCCTTTATCCTTGCTTCCTCTGCTTCTCTACCATTAGTAACATTCTCCAATTTCATGAGCCGTAGGAATCCATGGAGATCAGAGAGTTCTCCTAATTCCTTGATCCCATTCTCTTCATGCTTGCCCACAACGAAGTCACTTAAAAACTGCAGATGTTTTAGTTTGCTCATTCCCCGAGGCATCTCTTTTAGTTCTGTACCCCTAACATCAAGATGTCGCAAATTCACAAGATTTTGCATACCACTTGGCAACATAGTTAGACAATAACAAGAAAACAGCTTCAGTGTTTGTAAATTGTACAATTTGCTCGATGATTCTGGCAATGTTTCGATACTTGTATCAGAGAGATCCAAGTAACGAAGATGGATCAATTCACCTACTTGATCAGGCAATACCCGAAATTCTCGACAATTGTTGAATGACAAAACTCTTAGGTATTTAAACTTGGATAATATGATCAAAATGGCACGCTCAAAGGGGAGCGAAGGACGTGAGAATTGGACTTGCAAAAATGTTCTCAGAGATTTTAATTCATCAATAGCATCGAAAGTTTTTGAGATTGGATGAGTCAACGTTCCATACGACAGATGACGAGTAAGAGTCTTACTCTTGTCAAACATCCCAAGTTCTTCTGACCAAAAATAGAAGTCCCCAGCAACAGATATGGCCAAGTCATGCATCAGGTCATGCATTACAAAATACCCATCATCATTTCCGAGCTCTTTCAGAAAAGATCGAGAAGTCAAATCATCAAAACACTCAGAACCAACTTCTTCCAACGTCTCTCCTTTCTTTGGTGAACGCAGAAGATCTTCTGCCATCCACAGGGGGATTAGTTCATCCTTATAAAATGGATAATCCTTGGGGAACAATGAGAAATAAGCAAAACAAAGTTTTAGATGTGGAGGGAGATGGTAATAACTTATTTTCAGACCTGGAATAATTTTACTATCTTCCACTGGAATTTCCCAAAGTTCACTCCTCAATATGGTTTTCCAATTCCCTGTATCATGTTTTGTCTGCAGTAGACTACCGAGGGTTTCTGCAGCCAAAGGTAATCCTCGACACCTCTTGACAATGTCCTTACCAATTCTTTCCAGACTTAAATCACCACCAGATTCTGGAAAACGGGAATGCTTTGCAAACACTGACCAACAATATTCATCCGACAACTCATGTAGAGGGTACGGTGGAACAGTTTGGACAATTGAAGCAACCTTTTCAAGTCGAGTTGTCACAAGAATTTTACTTCCTTTAATCCCGTATTGAAAAGGCTTTTTAAAACTATTCCAACCGTGTTGATCAATGTTCCAAACATCATCCAAAACAACTAAAAACCTCTTTCCCGACAACATTTCCTTCAAACCAAGTTGAAGTAAATTTAAATCCTTTGCATCGCAAGTAGCACCAACCGCTGCTGTGACATTCTTTGTAATGTTAACAACATTAGATTCTTCAGAAACACAGACCCATGCTTTCAAATCAAACTTCCCCATCAAATTCTCATCATTGTACAACCACTGGACTAAAGTGGTTTTTCCAACTCCCCCCATGCCCACGATAGGGATCACACAAACATTTTCTTCACTAGTCACGTCTAACAGCAGCTTTTTCATGTTCTCCTTATCTTGATCCCTTCCATAAATATCAGATCCAGATCCTTGTAGCAAAGACGTTGATGGAGTTCTCCATGAGAAGTTCTCACTTGGAATCTCTTTCAAACCAAGAGTATCTTTGAAGTTAACAAGATACTCTAACCTGCTAGTGATGTCTTCTATTTCACTCACCACCTTTCTATCTCGCAAATTGAGAAAGCGAGAGAAATAGTTACTTACCTCCCTGTGAGTGGCAGCTTCACTAGAGAGACGATCGAACAAGTCATCAGCCACATAAACAGCATCTCTGAGATCATGAAGCCACTCTTTCACAGCATCATCGTTGACTTGTTTGCGCTCAGCATCATTAAGCACAGCCTCAACAACACGTAGAACAGTCTTCAACCTTTCAACTAACTTATGGTCAAGCCTCTTGCCACGGATCAAGCTTGCAACTTCAGGTGAAAGAAGCCGATCAAAGACAACGTTAACAAAGCCAGAGAGAAAAGCTCCACCCACAAGTGCTCCTGCCATGATGAATCAGATTACAGAAGAGAAAATTTTGCTTCCAAACTTTGTACTCAACACACTTCTTTCCAGAAGTATAGATTACTCTCTCCGTACTTTTTATACAAACTTTTTATTTTATTTTTATTATACGAAATAAATAATGATTTTAAGACATATTAATTGTTAAATATTTTTTAAGTATGTAGTGTGATATTATAAATTTTTTATTGATATATATCCAAAAATTTTATACTAATAAAAAAAAGACACATAATAAATTAAAAAATATTATTATATAATTTATTTATAATTATATTTTTATATTATTTATTACATAATTCTATTATATATATATATATATATATATAGTATATTAAATTTTTTATTTTATTTTTTATTAATTTTTATAAATTTTTAGTTTTGAATAAATATAATTTTTATTTAAGTAATTTTTATTTATTATAAATAAAAATAATTATAAATAATATTATTATTAAATTTTTTTATTTTATAAGTATCATAAAAATTTATATTTTTTATTAGTATTATTAAATATATAAATTATTAATTATATTATTTAATATTATAAATATTTTTAAAATAAATTTTATATTTATAAAAAATATAAATAATTTAATAACTTTCTTAGTTCTGATAATTTAATTTTTTATTTTGTTAAAAAGGATTGAAATGGGTAATAAAAATAGACTTGTATGAAAACACTAATCAGCAGTACCCGTAAAAAGAATTCGTGCAAGAGGAAGTGGTAGCCAGCTCTGCCACTAACACTGTTTTCAAAATCCTGCCTTTCAAAGATGCTCTCAAATAAATTAGTGGGATCATCATGTGTGTTCAATCTCAGTTCCAATGCATGTGGCTTTCAGATGCTTTAGCTATAGGCCTCGTGATGTTTCTCTCTTTCAATTCCCAACAAATCAAAATCAATGAAGTGTTGGCTTAGCACAAAACTAATGACAGGATTAAGCTGATCAACCCAATGAATCGGATAAACAATGTGGCATTCGGAATCTACAACCATCACTTGCTATCAAACATGGAGAAAGATTGATTACGACACCTGCAAACCAGATCACATTCTCATTTCATTTATTGGCTTAGCACACCAAGTTATGTAGTTTCAATGTTTTCATTCAACGCCTTGCATGTCACAGGAAGAAAACGTACAATTCAGTAATATAGTGTGTGTCATTGTTTTATTATTATTATTTTATTTGCATACATGAACCCCCAAAAATGTACCCTAAATATATATATAGGAAAAAAACGCTTAAAGTTATCCAAATTTTGGTGGTACGGGAAATATTTTCCTCATTCCTTGGTCAAAATTTTCAGCAAAACAATAAAGTCAGTAGTGTAGAGCAGTGAAAGGATCATAACATCACATTTTTAACACGAAATCGACATTAACGAAGAATATAATCATTCATTGAAACATAATCGATAGTTGATGGATTACCCGCAGAATTTGCTCTCTGTTAACACCACTCGTTGCGGTTTTGGAGCTTTGTATAAAGTTATTTGTTGCAGCTGGTTTACTATTTAAAGGTATTACTCGTTAAGGTAAATTGAGAAAACAAATGATCTGATAAGTATAACTATGTATATATCTGAGGAGCATGAATAAGATGTAAACAAATGAAACAGAGAGAGAGAGAGAGAGAGAGAGAACAAATCCTTTAGAAATAATAAGAATCACATCAAATGCGTTGAACAGCCAAATGAAATTAAGGTAACATCAAGACACGTGCATCACAACTACCTGTTGACAATTCTAGGTATCAAAACCCATTTCCAGTTAACTTGAATGCTAGAAATGTCGGAAATTATGTTCCAAATTTAAGGATGTTTCTTCTCGCACAGTTCTTCCAACAAAGGAGAGCCATAGATTTCAAGTTTTATCAGAGAGGGAGGCAATGGTTATTGAATCCTTTGATAACATTCTGGTGGTCTGTGAAATGACAAAATGACAAAATCTTTAGTGATAAACTTGAACTTGTGCATAAATCCTTTGATAAGTCCAAGTATTTCAGGTTAAATTTGACACTTTTTCCTTCAAACAAACCACTTACAGTAACAGTAGTTATTGAATCCCTTACTCCTTCCTTTTATTAAATTGATTCGTTGATGGCAACTTCTTCCTTGTTAATGGTCGTTGGGAGGTGGCAGGATTCTTAAAGATTCGTGAGAAGGATGACTTTCGAGTTTTTCTCATTTTCTAGGCAGAGCAACGCTCTTTTGATGAAACTCATAGTCCCTGAATTATATCCTTTTCATTAATAATTAAACTCCTAATCATATTTGACGTATTTATTTGGTTTAAAGTTAAATAAAAATAATTTTAATAAAGTTATTTTTAAATTATAAAATATAATTAAAAAATATATAATAAATTAATTTGTTATCTTCAAATGGAAGAAGCCCTAATTTGCTTTATTTTCAAGCTTATTGGCTGATAAAGTGAGAATTGATGAGATGGGGCATCAAAACACAGCATGTGAGTGAGTACAGCATTTGCAGTTCATGATAAGTGTCTGGCCATTGTCTTTTGTATGTGGTGACTCCTGCCCTGGGAGTGGAACCAACAACTTATACGAATAAACAAGTTCAATAATTCAATGCCTCCTTTGTTCCAACACTAATTCTTAACCATCTCTTAAATTTGGAGAGAATTTGTGTACACAGTGTTATTCGTACGAGTTCAAAAATAATGATTGTAATGGTTCTTAATTATACAAGCAAACCATTATAAAAATTGCTAAACAATTCAATTAGCCTATATCAATCACAAGTTTCATGTTGAATGCACTACTTATACTAACAATTACTGTCAAGGATTATTCTATCAACCAACATCTACTTTAGAGATACCCTCTAACACATCAAAAAATAAAAAATAGTTCAGTATCCTTCCCGAAGCAGTGAATTAGACAGGATCCTTTTGTTTAAAATACAAAACAATAATAAATTAAATAGCAATTCCATAATTTTTTCAGTCTATTGATAAACAATACGAATTTAGAGTGATTAGAATTTCATATAGGTGCCCTTAAAAGTGAATCAAATGTTATATAAGATACATCTTTCTAAATTATTTGATTTTGTATTCAAATAAAGCTTTCAAATATAATGTTATTTTTATCATTAACAAATTATATATTATAAGCTAATTGCCTAATCTCCTTGACCAACAGCTCATACGGACCCATGGAGAAATACAAATGTCATGTTAAAAAAAATCTGGAGAAAATGTAAAGGGAAAACATTTCACGATATTCAAAGTTATTTCTTTCTTTTATGAACAAAAGAAGGCATTATGGGATGCCTTAATGCACCAAAGAAATTCGTTGAACAACTCTAAATAAAAATAGCAAAAAACTTTCAACTTGGCTCTAAGCATAGACAATGATCTTCATTATACCGTTTCCACGACATAATCAAGACTAAACTACATTGCATTTTATGATTCTTCCATATTGACCAAATAGTTGCAAACCATATCGCCTTCTCTGCTTCCTTTTCCTTCTTTCCTCTTAGCAGAGCACAAATATTGGACACAGTATAACAAGCAATCTCTTCATAGAACCGAATGAAAACCCAGCCAGTTCATAATTTGCTTGCCAAACCTGATAGGAGAACTAGCAAGTAAAAATAAGATGGACGGATAGTAGAATCCTCTTCAAGATTGCAAAGAGTATACACCTTATATCTTGCCTTTGAAACATCACTCCTCTCCTTTGTAAGTAGCCCTTGCACTGCACGGTGAAGTAGGATAGTTTGACAGTATCCCGAGCCCAAAAGTATTCGAAGTCAGAAACCTAATTTTTTCCTAGTAGACTTGTCAGAAAAAAAAACATTGATTTTATGAGACCACTTCATCCTACCCACGAGCATTCTTTTTGCTGACTGTCAACTTCATTGGCGTGCTCACATGTACGTATAAAAGTGCATACTACAAAGGATAAAGATCATAGTGTTCAATTCAATTTTGCTTAAATAACAAAATGACATTCACTGTAAAGAAAAAGTTATACCGATTAAATTGTTGTTACACTAACACTTCCAATCAATTATCAATAGATCAACAGATTTTAGTCACACATTAACTCAATAACTAAATTAAATGTTAAAAAAAAAAAAAGACTGACTGTATTTGGAACAGAAGACTTGGACTTGAGACTTTTGACAAAAGAGATTTTTGAAAGTAAATATTCCAAGATAGATGCAAAAGAATTTCCAATATGGTCTTTTCAAAACAGTAAAAACTGATTTTACAAGACAACCACCTCATCTTGCTTGTTATGTTTTAATACTATATCTCGTCATGGATAATCTTTATTGCTAGATGCTAAAAAAGTATAGGCTCTAAACGTGGAGTTCAATGTTTTGCAAAACATATAAATTGCATACAAAAGTTAGACCATTAATTATAATCATAGTAACTCCACTTACTTAAAAAAAAGGACGAAAAATATGCTCACCATATTGAAAAGTTGATATAGAAGAAATTTGTCTGATGGAATCTCAACATCCTCTGAGTCAATGCTTTAGGAACTGGAATATCATTTGTACGAACTTCAAAATGAGTGCAACCTGTAAAATAAAAACATCATGATATGAATGACTTACTTGCATTCAACAGGCAAGCTTAACATTTCCAACAAAATCAGACTCGCGCTTACTATTATCACAAAATTGAGTGATGCAAAAGTTGACTATACTAATTACAAACGTGAGGTAAAAATCGGAGACAGCTTCTTCCAATTTCAGACGTATCAATCTTTATTCAACAATCTCTTCTTAGTCTTTATGTTTTATGACAATATCTCTTAAAGGATAATCTTTATTGCTAGATACTAAATAAAATATTTCTCTAACCGTGAGTCCATTGTTTTGGAAAACATACAAATTGCATACAAAACGATAAAAACAATTAACTATATTCATAGTAAGTCTGCTTAGTTATAAAAAATAAGAAAAATATGCTCACTCTAGTGAAAAGTTAATGCAGAAGAATTTTGTCTGATGGAATAACATTCTCAGAGACAATGTTCTAGGAATCGGAAAGTCATTTGTACGAACTTAATAAATGACTGCAACATGTAAAAGAAATATGATGATACGAGTGACTTGCACATATATCACCTTCTATTTCTGTTCCATACACATCTCTGTTCATCATAGCAAACATTTAATTCAAAGATGAACTGTTAATCTGCGAAGAGTATTTTGCCAACCTGTTTAATTAAGATAAATAAGAAAAGTGGAAACACATGATGTGATATAAAATGATAATATATTACACGTAATACCTCCAGATCAAGAACTGGCAAAGGTTAATAAAGCACCACGGAAACATATCAAACCAGACGAGGACAACCAGAAGAATGCATTCACCTTAAAGTGACGTTGTACATGTGTCCTGAACAGAGCTTTTACAGTAGCCTGAAAATCATATCATACATGGCCATGAAAAGAAAATCTCTAACTGAATATAATATCCTCAAAATATTAGCACTGTATCAAATATAATTAAAAGCTTATATGCTGATTCCTTCGCAGGAGTCTTTCGACACTAAGAAAAGATGTGACAACAAAATATCATTTCCGTCATGAAGGACGATCCTCTTCATGAAGGAGTACTAACATTAAAATCATTTGTTAAACCAAATGGGAAGTTCGAGAACTAACATGATTAGCGAACCAGCTTGACATTTCCTGAGAATCAATAAGCAGGTAAATCACTCTTCCGTCAAGTGATTCCTGGGAAATCTGCATGATGCAATGGGGAGAAGTTCAATTTCAGATATTTCCGTCAAGTTATTGACTACTGCATTAACGAATCATTTCCTGTGAATGGTTGAGAAAAATTGGAACCAAAATAAGATTACAGGCGTATATATAAATTGAAGTGAGGTAGGCATACTTACACACGTATAAGGAGGTTGCAAATGCCTACAATGTTGGAGATAAAATCTTTGTTTTACTGAAGAGAAAGAAAAAAATAATGAGAGGGGGCTAATAATCTGAGAAGTATAACTATATATCTGAGGGCGGAGAAATAAGATGTAAATAATGAAATAGAAAGAACAAATCCTTTAGACATAATAAGAACCATATCAAATGTTTTGAACAGCCAAATGAAATTAAGGTACCATCAAGACATGTGCATCACAATTACCTGCCGACAATTCTAGTTCACGAAACCCATTTCCAGTCAACTTGAATGCCAGAAATGTGGGAAATTCTTTTCCAAATTTGAGGATGCTTCTTCTTGCACCGTTCTTCCAACAAAGGAGAGCCATAGATGTCAAGTTTTACCAGCGAGGGAGGCAATCTTTTCCCCACCATATTCTTCAATTTGGGGCAGTAGCCAATACGTAAAACTTCAAGGGAGGTGAGGTGGAGAAGGCTGTTGCAATCCAACGTCTCCATAGTTTCAAACTTGAGCAGTTGTAGAGTGGAAAGAGACGGAAGCTGAGGCAACAAACCCTCCCTTAAGAATAAATTGGAACCACCAATGGTTAAATCAGTGAGACCCTGGTGCAAACCTATTAATGATAGACAGATCAATAGATTCCTGCAATTCACAATACTGAGTGCTGCCAAGTTGGCCGGAAGATCCCAATCAGGAAACGAATCAATGTTAGGGCAATCTCTTATTGAAAGAAAATTTAAACCAAGGAATAGAGTATTCATGTGAGAAGGTAATGACTCCAACATAGGGCAGTCCCAGAGATAAAACGAAGTCATAATGGGTGCAATCAATCCTTCTGCTGGGAACCCCCCAAGGGCAGCTAGTGCAGCGGCCAAAGTGGAGATCCATTATAATTATAGAATCCGTAAAAGTTGGGACAACGTTCTATCACGAATCTTTTCAGGACAGGAAATTTACAAGGCACATATCCCCTTAAGCGAGGACAACCAATTATTTCTAAGTGCACAAGTTGATAAAAATAATAATATTCAGATAAAAGCCAATCCTCCCAACAAGACATGCTACGGAATTTTAGTTCCACTAATGAGGGAAATGGTGTTCTCAGAGAACAATTATTATCGTTCATGTAAAACTCATCACCAATACTCTTTAACGTATCAAAATTTCCAATCTCCAAGGACTTGAGATGTGGTAGTTGTCCAAGTGAAGGAAGGGTACAACAGTTGATACAAAAATTAATTGTTACACGAGTCATCTTGTGGTAAGAAGAATGCCCTACCCAATCTGAAAATCTTTTACCCCTATACCCAGGGATTTGAAGTGCTTCTAGGCCTTTGTGAGGTTGTAACTTGTCAAATATTTCTTCAATGTGGGCGGATGTATTCATATTCCTGTCCTGAGACCAGTCTAAGGTCAAACTTTTTAGGTGCGTCTTATCCTTTATCCTTGCCTCCTCTGCTTCGCTGCTATTAGTAAAATTCTCCAATTTCATGACCCCTAGGAATTCGAGATCAGAGAGTTCTCCTAATTCCTTGATCCCATTCTTTTTATGCTTGCCCACAACGAAGTTACTTAAGAACTGCAAATGTTTCAGTTTGCTCATTCCCCGAGGCATCTCTTTTACTTTAGTACCACTAATATCCAGACTTCGCAAGTTTACAAGATTTTGCATGCCACTTGGCAACATAGTTAGAAGATGACAAAAAGACATCTTCAGGGTTTGTAAATTGTACAATTTGCTCAATGATTCTGGCAATTTTGTGATGCTTGTCCGAGAGAGATCCAAGTAACGAAGATCAATTCACCTATTCGATCAGGCAATTCCTGAAGTTCTTCACATTTGTAGAATGACAAAACTCTTAGGTACTTAAACTTTGATAATATGATCAAAATGACACTTCCAAAGCCGAACGAAGGAGGTGAGAAATGGACTTGCAAAAATGTTCTCAAAGATTTTAATTCATCAATAGCATCGACATTTTTTGAGATTGGATGAGTCAACCTTCCATACGATAAATGACGAGTAAGAGTCTTGCTCTTGTCAAACATCCCAAGTTCTTCTGACCAACAATAGAAGTCCCTAGCAACAGATATGGCCAAGTCATGCATCAGGTCATGCATTACAAAATACACATCATGAGTTCTGCTTATCAGCTTTTTCAGAAAAGATCGAGAAGTCAAATCATCAAAACACTCAGAACCAACTTTTTCCAACGTCTCTCCTTTCTTTGGTGATCGTAGAAGATCTTCTGCCATCCACAGGGGGATTAATTCATCTTTAGAAAATTGATAATCCTTGGGAAACAATGAGAAATAAGCAAAACAACGTTTTAGATGTGGAGGGAGATGGTAATAACTTATTTTTAGAGCTGGAATAATTTTATTATCTTCCATTGGAATTTCCCAAAGTTCACTCGTCAATATAGTATTCCAATCCCCTGTATCATGTTTTGTCTGCAATAGACTACCGAGGGTTTCTGCAGCCAAAGGTAATCCTTGACACCTCCTCACAATGTCCTTACCAATTCTTTCCAGATTTGAATCACCACCACATTCTGGAAAACAGGCATGCTTTGCAAACACTGACCAACAATATTGATCCGACAACTCATGTAGAGGGTACGGTGGAACAGTTTGGACAATTGAAGCAACCTTTTCAAGTCGAGTTGTCACAAGAATTTTACTTCCTTTAATCCCGTTTTGAAAAGGCTTTTTAAAATTATTCCAACCGTGTTGATCAATGTTCCAAACATCATCCAAAACAACCAAAAACCTCTTCCCTGACAACTTTTCCTCCAAATTAAGTTGAAGTAAATTTAAATCCTCTGCATCGCAAGCAGCACGATTAACCGCGGCTGTGACACACTTTGTAATGTTAACAACATTAGATTCTTCAGAAACACAAACCCATGCTTTCAAATCAAACTCCTCCTTCAAATCCTCATCGTTGTACAACCACTGGACTAAAGTGTTTTTTCCAACTCCACCCATGCCCACAATAGGAATCACACAAACATTTTCCTCACTACTTTCGTCTAACAGTAGCTTTTTCATGTTCTCCTTATCTTTATCCCTGCCATAAATATTAGATCCAGGTCCTTGTGGCAAAGATGTTGTTTTTTCCATGAGAAGTTCTCACTTGGAAACACTTTCAAACCAAGAATATCTTTTAAGTTAACAATTTGCTCTAACCTGATAGTGATGTCTTCCATTTCACTCACCATCTTTCTATCTCGCGGATTGAGAAAGCGAGAGAAAAAGTTACTTACCTTCTTATGAGCCTTATGAGTGGCAGCTTCGGTAGAGAGACCATCCAACAAGTCATCAGCCACATAAACAGCATCTCTGAGCTCATGAAGCCACTTCTTCACAGCATCATCATTGATTTGTTTGCGCTCAGCATCATTAAGCACAGCCTCAACAGCACGTAGAACAGTCTTCAACCTTTCAACTAACTTATGGTCTAGCTTCTTGCCTCGGATCAATCTTGCAACTTCAGGTGAAAGAAGCCGATCAAAAACAACATTAACAAAGCCAGAGAGAAATGCTCCACCCACAATTGCTTCTGCCATGATGAATCAGATTGGCGGACACAAAATGCTTCAAACTTTGTACTGAACACAAATTTTTCCAAAAGTATAAATAGAGCAAGAGAAATATAGCAGAATAAATATATAAAAAAAAATGCTGACCAAGTATATTAAAGGAAAAACTTACGAGTTTTTTTATGGTTATTTTTTTACATGATTTTTTTTAAATTCAAAAATATGAAATTTTTTGTGAAATTATAAAAATATAGAATTCAAAAATCGACAATAACATTTTTAGTACCATACAAAAATTTAGAGACAAAAAATTTAAAAAATAATAAATTTTTAAAAATAGCCGTTGACAATTTTTAAAAATATATTAAAAAAATAAAAAAATTGTAAATAATAATTTTTAAAAAAATAATTAAATATTTAAAAAATATATAAAAAATTATCACAGTTTTTTTTATCAAAATCGTTAATAATGATTTTTGAAAAAAATATTTTCATAATTTTGTAAAAGAATTCATATTTTTAAATTTTGAAAAAAAAACATATAAAAAATGCTTTTTTATTTCTTGATAGATCTGTTACTTCGATAAAATTTTAATTGATAAATAATATTAATAATATTTAAAAATTGTATTTAAGGTTTACTTATATCTAAATATTAATTAAAAATGATGGAAAATATTAAAAAAATATAAACCTGCAACGAATAATAAAGTCTTTTGAAAAATTAAATATTTTTGAAAAAAAAGAGTAATGAAAAAGTCAGTTTTGATGGCGGAAAACTATGGATACTTGTTTGTTTTTATCTGAATTCGAAGTCTTGCTTTTCATGGCATTGCTTGAAGTAACACGCGCATTAATTTTACGTACACATACATAATTGACATCGATGTAACATGTATTGTATACTCTTTACAGCAGACTACGATATTTAAGAAGAAAAAAAAATTCATCTTTAGCTTCAACATTTATCAATATTCACTAGTTCATCTTAATCATCAATATGTGAATCTCTCTAGTTTCAATATTTATCATTGTACTTGATTATCCACGATTAAACTACAACCTTTACAGTATTCATCGCTCCATTTTATTCATTTTAACCTTCTTAAAATAAAATAGCTTATCTTCACACATTATATAACTATAAAATAACCATCGTGTGCAAGGGAAAGTAGTTTAATAACATAAATCAAGGACTGATCACATCTATAAACTATACAAGGAGAATCTTTAACAACTTTACATGATAATGAATGAAAAAATAATTAATACATCTTGGGACCCAAGAAAACAAAAAAACAAGAAACCCATCAAAATGAATTAAGACGAGATTTTAACCATGACTGAAAGAGGAATGTTTACAACATGACCTTGATTCCCAAATAGCCCAATTCTCCCAAAGCTGGCCACAGAGCTGTTAATGGTTGCATTCAATACTACAGACAAAACTTGTCTCTCACCACTGGCAATGCAGAAATGAGTAGGAGATACTTTCACTGAAACCCCATAAGGGGCATTCCAACCAACACTGTATGTTTCATTTTGGGCAATGTTTTGGACTGTCCTTTGCACTACTCGAGATTGGTTTAGCTGTGATATAGTGATTGAGGGCGAGTTCAGATCAGGGCCATATATAGTAGAATTGTGAAGCCAACAATTTTGACCAGTGTAGTTTAGCACCACAGGAGCTGAACCATTGATTGTACATAGAAATGACATGTAATCATCATAACCTGTGAACAAATATCATATACACTTCCACGTTCAGTTAAAAATTGGGAAAACACGTGAACAATTTGATAACCAAAGTAAATTCAACTCTTCAAATGACAAAGGAACTTAACTTCTCAGAATAAAATATTCCAAATATTAAGATTTAAAGGAAAGAGATGACGTATTAATTTCAATAGTGATGACTAAAGTGAGATGATTTATTTATAGAAAATATAAATTGCCGTGTTACATCAAGGAAAAAAATGCTGTCATGTAAATTTGTTGGCTTTGATTAAATAAATTCCTGGCTCACCCATTATCATGGAGTAACATATCACACATAACATAAACCACAACTATAGCTGAATTTTCATGCTATTTTTATATATTGAACATGATATTTTTATCAAAGCATAATAATGACTGAAAAGCTTAAGTGACTTACTAGAATCAAAAATCAAACCCGGATTCAATGCTGCTGTTGCATTCACAAAACCACTTCCCATGTCAAAAGGAGTTGCTGGAGATTGGTTTACTTCTGGAGAGGCATATGATCGCTGAGCCATTATTGGCCCGCCACCTGTGTCGTACTGGGAAGCTGTAGTAGAAAGTGTAGATCCAATGGCTGCAGGACTGAAATTGGGGAACTTCTGCCTAATTAGTGCAGCTAGACCAGCAACATGTGGTGCAGCCATGCTAGTGCCTGACATCATTGCAAATTTCTCACCTGTTGGCAAAACAAATAAGATGTGATGGTTAAAATCATAGCATCAATTATTATTTAAAAAGATGTTGTGTTTAAAATATGATAGGTACCCAAAAGAAATCCTTAAATTTGACTATGTCCTGGTAAAAACATTTTATGCAGTTACAAACCTAGGAATTCAACCGAATCAGTGCCAAGAGAACTCCAAGCAGCCCATATAAAATTTCCAGGAGCTAACAAGTTAGGTTTCAAAATGTCAGCTTCGTGAGGAAGACTGTCCCCTGGATCTGGTCCTCTGGCAGAGTAATACATAACCTTTGGGGCTATATTACTGTATTTCGCTTTTAGTCCACCACAGATAGCAGCAACAGCCCCAAATTTAACAACTTTCTTTGAAACTGCATCTATTTCCAATGAAGAATTGTAGTATTGCATTAAAATCTGACCAGTTCAAAATACATGAGAAACTGTCAGGGGATTATTCCTTGTGTCGTGTAAGATAGAGAGAAATAAGTTGACTAAAATATCAGCCAAATCCACAAGACAACAGGTGTTCTAACATTAACTGAATATATAGACTGCATCAAAGGATAACATTAGTAATGCAAGCCCAAGGAACGAAAAAACAATACATATGAGCTGACAATCATTTAAAAACTCAAACACTTCATGTCAGTGTCATCCATGTCAAATACATATTCATGCGAGACTTTTTGAATACTTTTACCTGTATAATATAATTTTTTATTTTACTTTTCAAACTTTTATACCAATACAAATGAGAAATTCACAAAAATTAAATAAATTATAGCATTTTATTATGACTTATGCTCACTTTTAAGATTTGCGTTTTATGATCATTTTAAACAAATTCTGTAAGTTGTATCATAACGTGTCCTATAGTTCTAAAATTTGTTGTATTCCCCCATATTGGTGTTGTATCATCTCCACGCCCCATGTTCTTTCTAGATAGCCATGTGTAAATGAGGGGTAAAATGAATAATGCAAAGCACCTTGGAATCATTTGTGGATGCGATTATTATGCCAGGCATTTTCATTGGAACTGGGTTAAGCTGAAAACCAATCACAAAGGGATCCATATAGAAGACGACGCCAGCTGCACTAAGGTTTTTGGCTGATTCTGAAGCCCGTTTGATGGTAGAGAGCCCCAGCACAAAACGAATTGAATAGCTGCAGATCAAGAGGTTTCCCTTGATCAAATTCCGCTTAAACTTACTTGCATCTTGGCACTCACCAACATACATATCATCAGCAATCGTCATGTCATTGTTCAAAGCATGGTGTGCATGAATCAGTTTATAAAGTTTGCTGTCATCTGTGCCAGCTGAGGAAAATAACAATGAAAATGACAAAAATTGGTCGCAAATCAATCCCAGCAGAAATACTGAAGAAAGAATAAAAATGCATACATTAACAATTGAATAATCTTCATAACTATTGGAGGATTTTCTCCAATCTAACATTATTAAGCAGAAATCACGGAAAGTAACCAGTGGATGACAAATATTAGATCTTTAGATTTCCTTTCTCTGATTTGGGGCTCATATCTCCAGTGAAAGATAATAAATTAAAAGCATTTTCCAACTTACTTAATAACAGGAAAAAGAATATACTAGCGGAGGTAAACTTCATGCAGTGCAACAAATCTTGCACACAGAATATAATTTAAGCTCAAAAAGTTCCAATAACAGTGAATAGCCAACCCCCTTGGTCCTAGCCAACATTCACTTACACGGATCTACTATTAATCAAAAACAAGTGATGAAACACAAAAAATACTCCAAAAGAACAACTTCAAATTATTTTTCCATTAGGCAATTCAAAGAGGAAATTCAATCATTAAAATTTGCAACATTACACCCTCCCACACACACACCCAAGCACGCGGCAAGTCATGAAAAAGTAAACTTATATAGTTAACCATGAAAAGAGAAACAGAAACTTACGTGCAAGACCAACTCCTGGTATGGTCACATTATTTCCAAGAAATATGGAGTTGCTATAAACCCGATCATGAGAGGCAGCACCAACAGTAAGGATCCATGGACTGAAGGAGGACATGCTCATTGGTGAGGGTCCAGTATTTCCTGCTGCTTGCACTACAAAAATACCAGCCTTCACAGCTGACAGCAATGCCATATCTATTGGATTGAAGAAAGTTGCAACACCGGGAGGACGCCTGTTAGGAGTAATTGACAAGCTTATGATGTCAACCCCATCCAGAGCTGCCTGTAAACATCATACTATTAGCCTCACAGGAAAAAAAATTCAACACAATCTTAGATAAATCAAGATTGTGAAGGCAACGTGCAAGGAAATCATTACTAATCATCATCAATAACACTGGATGCTCAAAGAAATTTGGAAGGGAAGTCATGCATAGATAGAAGATGCAATAAAGTTGGAAATTAAATGACATGGGTCCCTAGAAGGTGAATTAAGAATCCTGAGACAATGTGAAATCAACTGTAGTCAGGTAGGGGCCAAATGGAACATGAAACCAATAAACAAGCACAGGAAAAATAATAACAGTTATATTATTAATCAGGGAATCCCACTATCCTTCACAAACATATACCAGGGGAAG